TCTTTTCAAGTACGTGGAACATGCCCAAATAAACATACGCTGGGCCATAAAACTACCAAAACGAAAAGACCCGAACGTGATTTACAGCAGCGGTTCTCAACAAGGGATGACCTTCCTCCAGCCCACCAGGGGACGTTTGGCAACGTCTGAGGACAGTTTTGGTTGTCGTGACTGGTGTATGTGGGGTATTACTGGCTTTTAGTTGACAGAGGCCGGGGATGCTGCTACAAATCCTACAGTGCACAGGGAAGCCTCCCACCTCCCACAACAAGCAGTTATTCGGCCCCAAATGTCAGTAGTGCAGAGGTTGGGCACCCCTGCCATGTGCCTGAGCCACCCGCCATCCCAGCTCTTGCTGTTCCCCTTACGTGGCTTGGTTGTCTTCATACCGACACACGATATATTTTGCTTGTTTGATTTTTGTCTGTTTCCCTTCAACCCAGATTGTAAGCTGCATGGGGGGCGGAGCTTTGTTTCGTTTCCTGCTGTATACCCAGCGCGCAGAATAGCGCCTGCAGTAGGTGCTCAGTATTTGTTGAATGAACGAAAGAATCCACTTGTTTTGCCCAAGTCACGTAGCCTTCCATACCCGCCGTCACTCCCAAGTCTGGCCTGTTCTCTGTCCTACATAACTCTTTATTTCCTCCCCTCCACTGGGTTTCCAGTGCCATTGCCTTGGGTCAAGGCCCTCGTTTTCAATACTACTTGTTTAGAATGTTGAAATATCTTTATCAGAAGAGTCCAGTCTTACTAGCACCTTCCCTCCCCTTTGTTCCAGAATATAAAATTTTAAACTGCTGATGGCACACAGGGCTGTCTCAGTCAGGCCCCTGTGTGTCTGTCCAGCCTCATCTCCTCACTACTCATCCTCTATATGTACCAGGGTCCTTGAGTGCAAGCAACAGAAGACATCCTTGTCTAACTTGAGCAGGAAAGGGTTTTGTCGGAAGGAAATGGGGGACTTGAGAGACAGACCAGAGGCTGGAGGACCAGAGGGATGACAGGAAGCATCACCGATGCATTTTTTTTCAAAGTGGAAAGAGTTGGTCCAGACTCCACGGCTGTGGCAGCAGCTTGGATCGGGCATCACCACAGCTGTTTTCATCTCGGCCAAGCTCACTCCCTGTGGGGCATGCGCGTGCATGTGCGTGATTTTCCATGTTTCAACTGAGAGCTGGAGCAAGGAGGAGGGCAATCTCTCACTCTGCCAGTTACTGATTTAGTGCCTCTTAGCTCCAAATTCACCCCTTTTTAAGCCCTGCTTTAAGATTCTGGAGCTGGACCATGAGAACATTTCTTCTCTGCCAGCTGGTGCAGTGTTAGGCTTTGTAGGGTGCTGGAGGTACACTGCAAGGCCCAGGGGAAGGGAGTCTCTGTTTCTGATGAGTCCGTTTTTCCTTCTACACTGCGGCCATCAGCCAGTGAATTTTCTTGGCATCCCAGCGGGAAGCTCCTTGTGGACCAGCTTCTGCACCCTAGCAGCCACTTCCTGTGCCCCAGCTCCCCACACCCACAGTGAACTTCCCCACCAGTCGGGGGCTTACACTCACATCCGCCCAGTGTGGTGTGGCGGGAATCCTAGCCTTGGTGCCAGAGGGAGGGTGCTCCTCCAAGTTCTTAGTTCCCTCCTTGGGTATTCTTTAAAAACAGGGGAGGGAGAAGGAGAGAGAGAGAGAGAGACAGAGAGCACGAGCAAGGGAGGGAGAAGTGGGGAGGGAGGGTGGGAGGAGTGGGAGAAAGAGCTGTCTTTGCTGTTCTGGTTTTTCTTAGAGTTCTCTTTTAGTTCCCTTTCAGTATTAACTTGTTAATAATTTATATTAACATTTCCCTGGTCAAATTACTGGTGTGGTTTCTGTGTTCTGGCTGGTCCCCGACTGATACAACCTTTCTTAGTTTTCGCAGTGGGAGGCAGGGCACTGCTGCCCACTCATAAATACTCACAGGGGGATTTCCTCCACGAAGGAACGGGGGTTGGAGGTTGGACAGCCAAAAAAACATGCTTGTCCAACAGGTCTCCAAATGCCACAACCTTATCTGTCTGCGCATGATGCGTGCTCTCTCCACATCTCTGCACAGACCATAGCCTTTCCTGGGGACTCCCAGTGTGCACCCCAACCCCACCCCTCTTTATCCTATAGCTCAGCTCAAAATCCACCTCCTCAGAGAGGCTTTCTGTGACTCCCTGCCTTGGCTGACTCTTCTCCTTTGCTTCTACTGTGCTCCTCCATGAAGCAACAATTTCACTGTTTTGCCGTTACTTGCTTCTCTGATCCCCACTCTGTAATCCCCCTGAGAACAGACAACCTGTCCTGTTCTCTTTGGACCATCAGCACATGCTGGGGACTCAGTGTATGTGTTGTGTGGCCTAATTAATTAGTAACTAATTTCTGTGTGCACTGGACGAGTGCCTTCTGGATACCTTGGGGCATCCACCAATTGTTCCCCATCAGGAAACCCTTGCGTGTAACCATGCAGGTTAGTACTGATAACAGCCGGACTTAGTTCATTTTCCTTTCTAGGAGAAGTGCCTTTTCCTGCCAAGTCATTGAAGTTCAATAAAATGATGATGAGTCAGAGAATTTGTCCCCTCCGGCAGGTGAGGTCCCAGGAAGGGCTGGGGGTGTGAGGCAGAGAAGTTATGGGTTGAATTGTGTCTCCCTGAAATTCTTATGTCGAGGTCCTAACCCTGCTAGGGCCTCAGACTGTGACCTTATTTGGAAATAGGGTTGTTGCAGATGTAATTTGTTAAGATGAGGACATACTGGAGTTGGTGGGCCCCTAATTCAATATAACTGGTGTCCATATAAAAAGGGGAGGTTTGACACAGAGACACGCATACAGGGAGAACACCATGTAAAGCCTAACGTTATGCTGCTACAAGCCAGGGAACTACCAGAAGCTGCAAGAGGGACCTGGAGCACATCCTTCCTTAGTACCTTCAGAGGGAAGCCCTTGATCTTGGACTTCTAGCTTCCAGAACTGTGAGACAATAAACTTCTGTTGCTTTAGCCTCCCAGTCTGTTGACCTTTGTTACAGCAGCCCTGGGAAACTCACATAGGAGTGTGGGAGCTGGATTTTTATAGTTCCTGGCCATCTGGTTAGCTATTTCCATTACTTCTGTCACAGTCTGTGCGGTGATTCACTTTTCCTTAGGAAAACAGTCCCTGAGTGCTGTGGTACTCTGTGCAGACGTCGATAACACTGGCACAGAGCAGCAGTTACAAGAGAAGCTGGACATCCATATTTCTAGATGAAACCTGTTGTCTTTTAAATGTCGGAAACAAAATATTTTAAAACAAGGGGCTGACCAAATAAAATGCCTCTGCAAGGCCACCTGATGTCAACCTTTGCGTTAATGGAATCCTGTTTTCAGGTTTTGTGAAAGGAGGAAAACGTAGGCGAGGAACTGGCAGGATAATAATTGAAGGGCCCGCATCCGTTAAGCACGGTGTGAGCGCTTTACTGACGCTTTCTCCTTTAGTCCTCACATAGTAAGTGAGGTGTGTTCTGAGACTGTCCTCCTACTATAGTTGAGGAAACTGAGTCACAGAGGGGCTCACGACCTCGTCCAAGGTCCCACAGCTAGGTGGTGCCAAGACCTCAGCCCACAGCTGGCTGGTCCCAGAGCACACGCGCCTTCAGTTCCACAGCAGACTGCCTCCTATTCTAGTGGGAGAAACTTCAGGGCTGGCTCTGGGACATGGCCACAAGCCTGGGAAGACTCGTTTGTTGCCGAGATGGACACAGGAGGTTCTGTCTCTAGTGCCTGGTAAGGAAAGGGGCTCCACGCACACTGAGCAGAGTGCAGAACCAACAAGGCATGCCGCAGCTCTGAGGCTGCCTGTGAGGGCCTGCTCCTCCAGAGGTCCTCTGTGTCAATCACAGCTCGTAACCTGGCAACAGAGTAACTGTTGTTCTAGCTGGTGACACTATTCCCCAACAAGGTGTGGCAATCACATAGTGGAGGCAACTGTGTAATGCTCGCCACTGCCAGCTGTACTTGAGCTCCCCTCAGCTGCTCAGCTGTTGTGGTTTGGGGTGATACCAAGACTTTGGTGAATGTAGGGTGAGCTCAACAGGAGAGCAGGGCCACGAAGGTGGGGCTCGGGTGTGACTGCTCACAGCAGGGAATGGCTAATTGCTAGGCTGAGTGGGAAGAAGCTGTTTCTTACACTGTCTTGGCTTAGGTTGCAGCTGAGGTCATCCTGGGACATTTGTGGTGTCCCAGGGATATATAATAGGCACACTATTGGGGGCTGCCCAGCTCTTGAGTCTCTCTTTTCTAGAAACTACTGCCCTTCCCCATGCTCAGGCATCAATTAGGAGCTATGTTTACAAGACATCATGGCCCCCTCCCTTACTATACTGGACTGCACCAAGGGCGGCCTCCTGCTCAAGCCCGGCCAATCAGAGACCATTGGGATTTTTGGAGAGAGAACAGGGGACACAGCCACATGAACTGAGATGCATAGGAAACACGTCTTCAGAACAAGACGAGTGTCACAAAGATGAGAACGAAAATCCTCTTGGCTTCTGAAGGCCTCCCAGGCTCCAGTCCTTTCTGAGACCAGCTGCCTCTTCCATCCAGACTATGCAGTGCGCATTTTGCTTTACCTACGTGAGTTGCTGACTGTTACCAGTGATCAAAGGGGTTCCCGCTAGTGGAGTGGGTTTAGGGTGGGTCCTTCAGGGCTTCCGGCCGGTTCCTGGTTGGGGACCTGCTGCAGGCTGGTGTGGGTTTGCTGTCTGGGTCTCTCTGCCCTGGCAGGGGAGGAGGAGAGGGAGTCAGTGATGAGGTCAGGGCTAGTGAGAGCCTCCCAGCTTACTATTTCTAGACCCACCTTACAGATGAGGAACCAGACACAAAGCTATTGGCCCAAGGCCACACAGCCAACAACTGGTGGAGCTGGGCTCTGAGACAATGTGTGTCCTGCGTCAACCCAAGGACAGGGAGGCCGCAAAAGAGCTCCTGCATTCAAGTGACCAGCAGAAGCCAGCAGGGCAGGTGTCGACATGTATTGCCTACTGAAACGACTTGCTTCTCATGCTGTCAGGTCAGGGCTGATGATTAAGTTTTTTTGTGCCCAGCCACAGCTTCTGTCAGCCTCCCCAAAACATTTTTTTTTCCTTCAAACCAAGGAACTGTGACAGGTCCCAAGTTACAAACCAGCTCTCAAAAGACAAAAGCAGGGCCCTAGGCGTTTTCCTTCAAGCTCCTGATGACTCCACCTTCCTGAGACAGCCTGCAGATGCTGGAGAAGCCCCAGGATGATCTGGTGCCTGAGACGTAAGATGTCCTCCTCAGACTCTTGTGCTCCTCTAGCAAGGTCTTGGTGGCCTCTATGAAGTCTTCCAAGTCAGAAACGGTCAGGAAATTCAGGATCTTACTCATTTTTCTCAGAAGGATCCGGATCTTCTGAGCCGTTGAACCGAACTCCATCTCCAGGATTTCTTTCTTCTTCATTTCACTCAGGAACTCCGGGCTTATGAACTGTGGGAATTCATCGAAGGCTGGGTGAAGGTCAGTGCCGCGCAGACACCCAGCTCCCCCACCCCTGGATGGGGCCCCTGTGGCCAGAACCAAGTATTCCCTGGAAACTTCAGTTTCCACAGCAAATCTGTGCTCCCAGCCCAGCCACTGGCAACCATCTGCTGCTTCCTCTCACACACTCACGTGGCCTGTGCCTGTGGCCACATGGGCTGTGGTGATGTGAGCAGAGGCCACATCCCAGCCTGACCCCAAACCAAAGGGTTGCCAGCTCCTGGGCCCTGGTGAGGCCCGCCTTCCAAAGGCTGTGCCCTGCCGGGGGCGTCCGCCTTCTCCCCATGGATTCGCAATCACGGGGTAGACTGAGGCCCTAGGGCAGCTGGGAGACTGCAGTGTCTAGCGCATGCCCCTCTTCCAGCTCAGGCTCCCCGGACTGTGTCTGGGTTTTGTCAGGATGAGGTATTGCCCCAGTGAGGCCACCTCTAGGCCAACTCCTGCCTCGGTTTGCAGCCTACAAAAGGCCAAGCAGAGGGTCTCCTGGAGGGGGAAATACTAATGGGTAATACCACTATGTTCTATTTCTATGAGGTATCCAGCTTATGAAATGTTTTCACACACAGTGTCTTATTTAAGCCTTACAACAACGTTGTGTCCATTTTACAGACGACAACGGGCTCCGAGAGAGCAAGAGGCCTGCCTGGTATTGCACAGGAAGTGGAGAGGCGTGGAACAGCGTGGTTCTTCCCAGCGCGCCCCAGCTGCCTGGCCTGGGCAGACCCTGCTGACGCTGTGCCCGGCTCTTCTCTCCCTCCTTTGACTCTGACTGCTTCCATTTGTTCTGATTTGCTTCATTTGGGGCCCACCCTCCACTGACACAGATTCCCGGGGCTCTCTGCCCACGCCAGCCCTTCACCATCCCTTTCTGAGCACTGACTTCCTTTCCTGGCCCTCCTGCCTTGGTGGAACCCCACCATCACTCGAAGGCCAGTGGGGCAGCTCTTCACGCCCTCTCCACCCCAGCTGCCCCCTTAGCTTGTCACCGCTGGGCAGGGGAAGAGTGGACAACTTGCGGACAGTCGAGTGTAAGCAGAGGTTGGCTGCTCTGGGAAATCCAGGAGTGGGTAAGGAGGTTGGGACGTCATTATCAAGCCCGTAGAATTGTAGGCCTTGTCAGGCAAGGGGACCTAGGGTGACCAGCCCTCCGAATCTGCTTGGAACTCTCCCAGTTTTAGCACTCAAAGTCTCATGTTCTGGAAAACCCCTCAGTCCTGGACAAACTGGGGTGGTTGGTCACCCTAAACCTACCACACTCCCTCCTCTCCTCCCAAATACTATTCATACAGCTTAATTTTGCCAGAGTCTGCTGTTTGGCTGCTTCCTCCATCAACCTACTTCTCCATCTGCCTTGCCTCCTGGGAGACATGTCCGTCTGTCCGTCTCCTCACACAGTCCTGCTTTGCGAGGGCTCGAATGCCTCTCTGTTGGGGGTGTAAGTGGAGCCTTCCAGGGAATGGGGAAGGGGAGCAGGAACAAGAACAGGGTCTTGTGTAGGTCTCAGTGGGGGCCAAGGACACCCTTAATCCTCTCCTTGACTCTGGTCCCCGGGAAGCGTCCCAGGAGCCCATCCTCTTGGCTCTCACAATCAGAACTCCTGCATCCACATTCACCATTGTAGTGGGTTGAATTGTGGCGCCCAAAAGATATGTCCAAGGCCTAATCCCCAGTACCTGTGAATGTGACCATATTTGGAAATAGGGTCTTGGCTGAGGTCATCCTGGACTTAGGGTGAGCCCTAAATCCAATGTCTGGGGTCCTTGTAAGAGGGAGATTTGATACACAGAGAGACACAGAGGAGAAGGCCACGAGAAGATAGAGGCAGAGATGGGAGAGATGCTGCCACAAGCCAAGGAATGCTCGGAGCCCCGAAGCTGGGGAGGCATTTTCCCTTAGAGCCTTTGGAGGGTGTGGCCCAACTGACACCTTGATTTCAGACTTCCGGCCTCAGAATTGTGAGAGAAACGATCCCTATTGTTTTAAGCCCCGCGTTAGTGGTAATTTGTCACGGCAGCCCTGACTGAGAATCACGGCTACTACTTTCTTGTCTGGACTAGGCAGTGCCCCTCAAACATCCAGGGGGTCATTTGTTTTGAGATGAGTGTGTCTGGAGAGGAGAGAAGAGGACACCAATGGCAGGGCTGGGGACCCAGATTTCCCCCTTGTTTCTGGCCCTGCCATCTGACAGGGCTGTTGTGAGTGTCAGGTGACATAACGCATGTTGACATCTTTGTTTTTTTGGTCCTGCTCATGGTCGAGCTCTTTGAGGCTGTCAGTTTCCTCAGAGCCAAATCTCACTGTGCTTGGAAGCTAAATGAACGCCTTTGTGAATGGTTAATGAAGGCAGCCTTGTTTTCCTATGCGTTGGAATGATGCAGAATGTGGCCCAGAGGCCGGGGGCATGGACTGGTCTCCGCAGGCAGTGGCCTGTGTGCAGGTGGGCACCTGCCTGGCGAGGCTATGGGGAGTTGAGACCTTACCTTGTACTTGGTACCCAGGTTCAAGCAAACGTGCTTCTTTGGGTAGATGAAGTGGAAGATGATCTTTTCCTGGCTCCTTATTTGTACCTTGATGTACCGGTTGATTTTCAAAGAGATGGACCGGAACGGGGGTGCGTGGACGTGGAGGCCCAGATCCCACCAGTTCCAGGCCAACTGGCGTTTGTTTTGTGGGAAGTAGTAGCACAGGGTTTGGCTCAGGTTCAACCTAGAGCAAGAAGGCATCAGGCAGCCACAGCGCTTGGCCCTGGGGCTAAGGGGCAGAGCCTCTCTGTGGCCACTCAGGCCTGCCCCTCCTCTCCCTCCCTCCTTCCTCTCTGGCTCACAAAGAGGCTGATAGGGGCTTGGCAGGTGGGAGTTCCAGTATGGAGGGTGAACCATATTGGAACTTCTTCAGCCCTGACCGTGTCCATGTTCAGTCTCCTCTTGTGCCCCCATTCTCTCCTTTCAGTCCCTGGGTCACACGAGCTCTTTACCTCGTCACGGCTTTGCTATGCTGTTCCCTCTGCCTGGAATGGTCTTCCCACCCTGCATGGCATGGCTGGCTCCGCTTACCTGTCAGGTCTCAGCTTAAATGCTGCCTCCTCAGAGAAGCCCTGTCCTGACCAGTCCCTCCGATTCCCTATATGAGTCACCGTCTCGTCCCTTGTTATTTTCCTCCTTATAATTTACTGCTATATGCAGTTGATTCTTGTTATCCGTGGTAGTTAGGTTCTATAACATCACCTCAAACACAGAGTTAGTTAATGGATACTGACGTATATATGTCTATATCTCTCCAACATAGATAATCTTAAAGCCTAAAAACAACAAATCGTGGAAGATTCCAACTGGCCCCAGAGCTGGAGCTTCTTGCACTATGCTGCCCTGCTCCCTCCCATCTCCATCCTCTGGTCACCTCTGTAGGAGCTGAAGCCAGAAGGTGGCATGTGGCCTTGTTTAGCCTTAGCCGGGAGTGTGTGCATTAAGAGACTCAAAATTTTCACTACTCTGTGCATGTCCGTGACTCCATGTACATATAAATGTACCTATTTCCCCGGGAGCAGTGAGTTCAGTATTTGCTCATTAAGCGTTCACAGCAACTCTATACATTGATAACTACTGCAAATCATGACAATTGGCTGTACTTGTTTATCATCTGTTCACCGCCGCTAAAATGGAAAGGCAAGTGTGGTCCCGGCGGGCAGCGTTCCCTGATGAAATCCTGCTGCCCAGAGCTGTGCCTGGCTCCCAGGTAACCAGGAGTCAGATGAGTGAGGGCGGATGGGTTTCTCCTTCATCCAGCCCAGGCCCCACTCTCCTCTGAGCTGTTCTTTCTTGGTGTTTCAAACCCACCATGTCTCTCTGGCCCTGGCTTCTGCTTTTTGAACCCCACCAGGGCTCTCCCCAGACTCTGTGCTGTTGGGGCAGTGACTTCCCTCGGGGATCGAATGCAGAGGGGAAGAGAATCTGAGACCCGGGCTAGTCAGAAGGAAGGTTTGGGGAGCCTGGATCACTCGGGCCATGGACCAGGTCTCGCCCGGGCTGTTCAGGGGCCTTGTAGGTCAGCGAAGGGTAGCCTTGTTCACCTCCAATAAGGGGAACCTCCTAGTCACTCCCAAATCCTAGATTCTCCTGCTGTCCCCATTGCCCATGGAACAAAGTGCCAACTCCTAAGTCCCTTCACCATCGGGCTGCAGCCTGTCCAAACTCATTCCTCTACTTAGACAAGAGGCTGCAAGCACGAACACAAATTAAAAACCTGGGCTCTGGAGCCAGGATCTCTAGGTTCTAAGCCCAGCTCTGACGCTTGTAAGCTGCGTGACCTTGGGCCAGTCACTTAGGCTCTCTATGCTTCAGTTCTAACTGGAAAATGCAGATAATAATAGTACTTTATTCATAGGGCTGTTGTGAAGATTAAATGCCCACACATAGCAATAACTTGGCAACATTAGAATTTTCTTATTATCATCGATGGAGAGGAGGGGAGGGAGCAGAATCTTCTCTCACTCTGCAGGGGAGCGGATCCCTGCCAGCTTCTAACCCGTTAAATGGCTCCCATCAGAGTTCTCACACTAGGCCCTCCCTCTCCCCCGTGTCAGAGGTCCGCCCCTGCCCAGGGGACCGTCTCTGAGCTAAGGCTCCCTCAGGAAAAGGGGGTGTAGAACACCCAGAAATGTCTGAATCTGAAAGATCCTCCTCAGGGGTGTAAAGACCCCAAACTGTGGAACAGGTGGAACCCACCCACCAGGGACCCAAGTTCAGGCCGGTCTGGGGCCCCTATCGTGTGGGACCCCTGAAGCCTGGTGGGAAGCCTGGTCTGAGATTCCTCCCGTGTGAGGCCTGGAGGTTGGGAGTGATGCTGGGGTTTAGTTTCCACACACCCAGCAAGCTCCAGCTGTGCCTTCTGCCTTCCCCGAGGAGACGGAAATCAAAAAGGACCCAGGGAATGTCCAGTGCTTGAAACAGCTTGGCTCGGGATCCTTCCCAGGGCCTGTGGTGCAATGGAGGAGCCCTCTGTCAGCGCGGACATGGGGCTGGAACTCGGGGAGCAGCCATGGAAATTTCTGGCCGGGATTAGGGTCTGCGGGCCCTGGTGGAGCAGCTTGGTGCTCCCAAATGACCTGGAGGGTCTTTTCCACAAAACCATTCTCCCAGTGACAGCAGGACTCCAGTTCTGACGATGAATTGCCTCAGGCACCAAGTCCTTCTGCTATGGGATCACGTTTTTCTCTGGTGTCACTGCCCCTGGGGAAGGAACCAGCTCGGGGGTGGGGGAGCCCATTCTGCCCTGCGGTATGACTTTTGGGGGTTTAGGGGAACGTACACAGGGACAGTCCCTCTCTCATCCAGGTCTCCGTTGCCTGAAATGCCATCAGTAGAGCCATCTTCCTTTGGTTTAAGCCAAACTAGAGCACGACCCAGGTAAGACGAAATTGCCCTTGGGGGAGACAGTACAGAAAGGTTTGGCAACTAACTGTTTACAGTTGAGGTGGAGAGGCTGCTGAGAGCAAGCGAGCAGCAGGCCTGTGGGCAGAGGGGCCAGGGCCTGCCAGGGGAATGAGGGGCAGGAGCTCTTCTCTTCTGCCATTGAGCAGGCTTGTCCAGCACCAGGAAGGAACGGCAAGAAAAAAATGACAGTGACACTGTGGGGATAGGAGTTGGGGGCTCTCCTGCTGTGGGGGCAGCTGGGGAGCAAGGAGGGAAAGGCAGGGGCTGCCTGGTGGGAGGGCAGAGGGGCAGGCCAGTGAGGTCTCCCTGGGGGTGTCCTTGGCCTTGACCCACAGCCCTGTAGACAGGATGCTGCATGGGCCATTTGTCGAGATTTGTGAGGCCCACTCTGAGCCTAACTGGTTTGCTTTCAGCACTGGACAGGCTCCTAGTTCTAAGCTGCCCCCATTTTCTCCAGTGGTGGAGGAGCTCCGGGTTGGAAGGGAAAGCCACCAGTATGCCTCTCGCTCTTGAAAACCCACTGGTCATGAAGTGGTGAGTACAGTTTCGGAAAAACTTCCAAGGCAAGAAGAAAGACAGCAGGTCTCAAGGAGAGAGATGGGAGCTGAGAAGTTAGGGGCCCCTGGACCATGAAGAGGCTATGAGGCCTGGAAGCAAAGCTGCTCTGGGGAAGAGAGATTGAACCACTGGTCACTGCCGTCTGCCAGGACAGGACATCTGGGCTCATTTCCTCAAGAAGTTGAGGCTTTCCTGGAATCCCAGCAACCGTCTGGGGTGTCAGCGCAACAGCCATCCACTCCTGACCAGAGGGGAGGACTGCGGACTGGGGGTAGCTCTCTGTGGATTTTGATGAGGGCACAGATGGATTCTCTCAGTCTCCTGTCTTTATCTTAAGACCCTGAGTGAGTGCCACAGACGGGGCAGTGGAGGGCATGCTGACCTGGGCTCCCACAGCCAGCTGACCCACATGATCATCTGGGAAGCTTTCAAAGAATGAAGACCTTCAGCCCTACCCCAGACCAACTGAGTGAGAAGCTTGAGGGTAGGAGTCAGCCCTTCCCCAGCTCTGAGCATCATCCTGCCCCTTGGGTTTTAACGGCTTGAGATTCAGGGATAAGATGGGGTGTCTCTTGCATACTTTGATAATTTTTAAAAAACGCTTTATTTTAGGCTGAGACAAGATGTCATAAAACTACTTGCCTGTAGCTTTATGTATGGCTCAGGGCAAGTGAGCCATCATATTCTCTGAGCCTAAGTTTCCTTATCAGTAGATTTCCCCAAGGTCTCTCTCCTGGCCCTAAAATTAAGCGTGAGCAGGAAAGGAGACTCACTATATGTAGCCAGATATCGCTTGAGACAATTAACTGAGTTTCTTGCCCCGCTCCTGGTGCTTCTGCCATCTAGTACCTTCTTCTACCTTTCAGACATCATCTTCTACACAAAGGGCCCTCACGGAGGACAAATATCTCTGAGAACAAGTAGTCAACTAGGAAATGACGTTGAAGAAACTCAAAGAATATTTAAGAAAACAGTCTTAAAAATCAATGCCTGGAGACCGAGAATACTTTTTGGAATTAGAAAAAAAAAAAATTGGGGGGCTGGCCCCGTGGCCGAGCGGTTAAGTTCGCGCGCTCCGCTGCAGGCGTCCCAGTGTTTCGTTGGTTCGAATCCTGGGCGCGGACATGACACTGCTCATCAAACCACGCTGAGGCAGCGTCCCACATGCCACAACTAGAAGGACCCACATCGAAGAATATACAACTATGTACCGGGGGGCTTTGGGGAGAAAAAGGAAAAAATAAAAATCAATTAAAAAAAAAAATTGGGCTTTGACTACCAAGAAGAAAGAAAGTATAAAGTTGATCCAAGGTAATATGCATTTCCCTCTCCATGACCACTTAGAATGGAAGGGGAGGAGGAAATCCTGAAAAGAGAGTGTGCTCACCCCAGAGAGATGGAGAAAAATTTTGAAGTGACTGAATTACTTTGAATCACTAGGATGAAGTTTCCCCCCATTACCAGAAATGGGAACTTAAAATGAAGTTCGGGTACAATAAAATATTTAGAAGCTGCATTTTTGTGTACAATACATGTGTCCCCAAAACACTTACCACACCCTCTTCTCCGAGGCCCCCAGAACTGGGTCTTTCCAAGGTAATTCTCATGAGGTTCGACTCTCAAGAAGTGCAGAGGAGAGGAAGCCAGTAGGAGCGGTCGCTGTGAGTGTGTGGTTGCTCTTTCACCCATGGGGAAGCAATGGTGCAATAAGGACAGTGTGCCTTCTCTGAGGTCAAGGACTTGTCTTACTGGTCCATCATGATACCCATCTCCCCGTTTCCAACATGTGTGAGTCGGATGAATGAATTCACAAGGGAATAAAGACACAGACTTACCCAGTGAGGGGGAAGGCTGTGTAGACTGGGAGTCAAACCTTAACCACACTGCCTCTGCATGGGGAGGATGGTTTGGGACTCACGACCCAAGCTTACCGGATTTCTCTGTTTTCATCATAGAAGGTGGCATGGCCAGAGCTGCTGACAAGAGCCCGAACATACTTTTCTTTACTGTCTTCCAGAATGATGTATGTGAACACTGTCTCTTTCGTGCTGAGGACAAGCATAGCCAGGTTTCCTGATGGGTAACTGGGAGATGGTTAAGGCACAAGCAGTCCCTTGGGACCCCTGGACAAGGCAGAGCCCTTTGGAGGACACAGGCCTCAGTAAAACACATGCCTCAACCCCGAATCACAGACATTTTAGGTGCCATATGTGTCAATATGAGTATACCCGTTCTCCAGTGGATACTATATCTGGCCTGATCCGTCAGGAAAGAGAATTTGGAAGACTTTCTCACTGGGGTAGAGAATTAATTTTCCATCACCTTTATGTACCTGGAAAGAAGAGACAAGCCTATGGAAAGTGCACGGTGCTGATGGTCCCAGTTCAGAGCACGGTGTTGGCACTAGAGTACTTGGGACTTGTCTACTGACTTTCTGTTGCCCACATGCCACCCTACCCATCACTACCACACCATCTCCACCATCAGCTTCCTGGGGAATCTGAAGAGGAAACCTCTCAGGGCTTCAGTACTTGTCCATGTGATGAGGAGGCTGAAATGGATTACTGTGTGTGTGTAGATTTTAAACTATCTTTCAGTCTCTCTAATGGTTATTGGTTACATGCGTTTCCTAGGGTTGCCATAACAAAGTACCATAAACTGGGCAGTCTACACCTGCAGCCATTGATTCTCTCACAGTTGTGGAGGCCGTAGGTCTGAGATCAAGGTGTCAGCAGGGTGGATTCTTTCCGGAGGCTCTGAGGAAGCATCTCTTCCACGTCTCTCTCCTGGCTTTTGGTGATGGCCCTCGATCCTTGTTCCTTGGCTTATTCGTGCATCACTCCAATCTCCACCTCCGTGTTCACCTGGCTTCTCCCTGTCTCTGTGTCTTCACGTGGCCGTCTTCTTATGAGGACACCAGACATTGGATTAGGGGCCCACTGCATTCCAGTATGACCTCATCCTAACTAACTACATCCTCAAAGGCCAGTTTTCCAAATAAGGTCACGTTCTGCGGCACTGGGGGTTAGGACTTGAACATATCTTTTTGGGAGGACACAGTTCAACCCATAACGTAGGTATTTTCAGGTTTTTAATTTCTTCTTTAATCAGTTTTGGTGAGTTATATTTTTCTAGGAAATTGTTCATTTTTTGTAATTTTTCAAATTTGTCATAAAAATTTTGTCATATAATGTTTAAAAAAATCCTCCACTATCTCTGTAGTTGTGTCCTCATCTTCATTCTTTATATTATTAATACCTTCTTCCTTTTTTTTCTGGATCAAACTTGTCTGATGATTTGCCTATTTTACTAGTCTTTTCAAAGAACCAGCTTTTGGTTTATTTATTCTATTATTTCCTTGTTTTCTAGTGTATCAATTTCTGTTCTTATTATTGATATACTTCTACTTTCTGTGGGTTTCTATATTACTCTATTTTATTTTTGTAATTATTTGAGTTGAATGTTGAGCTCATTGGTTTTCATCTTTCTTCTTCTTCATGGTCCCCTTCCTCTTCCTTCTTCTTTCATATAAACATTTAAAGCTATAACATTTGTCTCAAAATATTCTTTCAACTGTTTCCCACAAGTGAAGATACTTACCTTTCATTCCATTCTAAGTATTTTCAAATTTCCAATATGATTTATTCTTTGACACAGAAACTATTTACAAGTGTGTTTTTAAATTTGCAAATGTACGTGCTTTTGGTTGTGCTATTATTATTACTAATTAGAAAGTGTTGGGGTAAGAGGGCACAGTCTCTACGATATCAGCTCTTCAGTGTTCACTGAGACTTGTTGTGTGGCCTGGTGTGTGATCAATTATTGGAGCTGTTTCACGGGCCCTTGAAAAGGATGCATGTCCTCCAGCTGTCTCGTGTCCCCAGGGGTGTAGAACCCGGGCCTCTGGATTAACAGGACTCTCTGTTCTCTTCTTCCCACCCCTCCCTTCCAAGCACCCCCACCTCACCACACCCTGCTCACACTCTCACTCTTTTGGTTTTTCCGTTTCTATTTCAGGTATTGATTATTCCCTTACTTTCTGACACACTCTTCTTTGTGTTTAAAAGGACGCTTTTTACATTTCATCTAAATTTCCCGGGTGTTTGTAGCAGGAAGACTCTTCAGGTCATCTACAATCCCACATTCCTCTAATCAGGAGTAAGATCAGTGGTTTTCAAACTATTATTTTTCTTTGTGAGGAAAATTTGCCCTGAGCTAACATCTGTTGCCAATCTTCCTTTTTTTTTTTTTTGTTTTCTTTGAGGAAGATTAGCTCTGCGCTAACATCTGTGCCAATCTTCCTCTACTTTGTACGTGGGACGCCTCACAGCATGGCTGTGTAGGTCTGCACCCAGGATCTGAACCTGTGAACCCAAGCTGCCGAACCGGAGCATGTGGAACTTTAACCACTCAGCCACAGGTCCGGCCCTTCAAACTATTATTTTTCCAGTCGAAGCATCCCTTGTTCAAGAAAGCTTACAGCAGAATGCCCAAATCTAAGACAATAAAAGAAAGAGATGCACCTCTGTGTGGGGAGGGGCTGCTGTGGGCTCTCTAGGTCACAGCCTTTAAATGCCCAGGAAGCTGGGTGTCCAGCGAACACCACTTTGCAAGGTGATGCTCACTGTGTTGCCGACACATTGGGAGCTCTTTCTCCACACCAGCACTGCGTTAAACGCTTTCCTTGCACAACACAATGACCCCCAAAAGTAGCACTATTTCAGAGAGGTTAAAAGACTTACCCAAAGTTATCTGGTGAGAGGAGAGCCAGACTCCAGCAATCAGCTCCCCTCCTTCCCCTGTAAGGCCTGCGGGCTTGTCTGTGGAAACATGCTGCCTCCCATCATTAAGCTCCCAGGTACCTCGCGCATTCAGTCTATAAATCTTGCTCTTTTGTTTTTTTAACCTAAAAAAGTGCTTTGTAAGGACATCCATGCTTGATTTGTTTTTGAAGGCTTGTAAGAAACTTCTAGATATTGCTCATGGGAGAGGATATTTGTATTTTAGGTCCTCTTTTCAAAAGGCACCTGAAAGCCAGACTTTGTCAAGATGCTTTCTGCTTCTCAAATTCACTTGTCATGTCATGATATTTTCCTAAAGATAAACACTCCATGGTAAAGGAAGAGCTCGGACACAGAGGGGGAGATGTCCCATTTTCTCTCACTGGGAAATAGATAATCAATGGCACATCTCAAAGCCTACCTCTCATCATCATTTGCTTGGGGACAGAGGATGAGGTTAAGCAACAACAGATAAGAAAGGAGACTACATCTCTGGCCCGTCCTTCAGTTCTACTGGGGAGAAGAGAGCACCTCACAGGCAGGACCCTGAGCTGTGCGATAGCTGCCACCTGTCCGTGAGATCGCCCTGCTGCCGTCTGTCTGGGAGCAATCCTGGACTGCTGTGGAGCTGCTGGCTCCCGGGCTGGCTGGGCTGGATTCTGCCTGAGCATCAGCACACATTCATGAACAGTGCTACCTGATTCAGCAAACTATTTGGAATTGATTGCCCATTTATAAAAACCAAAACACAAGCAAATGTCCCACTCCTCTTGGGCCTTTTGGGCAGCCCGATGTGGATGGTGGGTTATGAAGGATCCTCTGGTTAGAGATCTGGGTGAAAACCTTCCCCTGGGAGGATGTTCAAGATTGGTTGGGGGACAGAGAACACAGGAGCAACAGAGCCAAGGCAGGACAAGGCAGAGAGTGTGGGAAGAAGGGGGAGTTCACCAGGCTGATTGGAGCAAGAAACCAAGTAAGGTTTCATTAATGGATTGGGGGGAGGCCAGGGGAATGAGAGAGCCGAAAGCCTTCTCTGAGGGCTGCCAACACCCTTATCACTCATTGTCTGTTATGACCTGGAGCATCCCCTGACTCTCCCTTAACCCCTCTGTCCATAGGAGTTCTGACTGGTCCCACTGACTTCCCTTCCACATGCAGGCTCAAGAGGTGAGGGGACACTGAACTTCCATTCCTTCTCTGGAGGCTGAAAGAGTTCACACCTTGGTTGACAGTGTCAGTTTCTGGTTCTCTTTCATTTCTGCCACAAGTGAGGCCACGCTCATCATTTTAAGACTTTTCTTTTTAGGAATATTAGCCCTGAGCTAACATCTGCCACAAATCCTCCTCTTTTTGCTGAGAAAGACTGGCCCTGAGCTAACATCCGTGCCCATCTTCCTCTACTTTATATGTGGGATGGCTGTCACAGCATGGCTTGACAAGTGGTGCGTAGATCTGCACGTGGGATCCGAACTGGCGAACCCCGGGCCACTGAAGTGGAACCTGCGAACTTAGCCCCTGCGCTACGAGGCTGGCCTCCATCATTTTAAGATTTTTGATTGCTTTGCTACTTAGTGCAAACTGTTTGCATTTTCCTCTGGACACACAGCAGGAGTACACTTCCCAGCCCTCTTGCATCTAAATAGGATCATGTGACTTGTTTTGGTTAGCGGAATTTAAGCCGGGACCCTGTTTTCACTTCCTGTCCATGCAATTGGACACAAAGAACTCCAAGATGGTGGAGACCCATGATGAAAGAGCCCAGATCTCTGAGAGCCAGCCTTAAAGAGAGCCATTCAAAGAGCTATGAGATTCAAATCAGACATGACTGAGCAAGAAACATGCATTTGATAGCTTTGGGAATTGTTAGTTTCAGCAGCTAATTAGCATTGCCCTGACTAATGTGGGCTCTATGTCCATGCGACAGTCATTTCAATTTTTCTGGTTCTCATTTCAATTGTAAAGTGAAAATAATGATACCACACTTACCCCCCATGACTGTCGGGAAAAGCTAAGTTTACGTTATATGTGGAAGTGCTTTCTAACCTGCACGGTGTTACATGATGTGAGTTTCCATTAGCCTTCTTGTGTTCTCCAATTTAGTAAATGAGAACATTGCATTTACTCAGCTGCTCAGGCCAAAATTCTTAGATTCATCCTTTTGTCTTCTCTTTCTCTCACACCTCATCTCCAATTCAACAGGGGGCCCTCTTGAGTCTTCCTTCAAAGAATATCCCAAATCGGCCTTCTCACCACCTCTACTGCCACCACCCCAGTAGAGATGCTCATTGTCTCTCACTTGAATTGATGCCCTGGGCTCCCAGCTGGATTTTATGCCTTTATTCTTACCCCCTTAAACCTATTCTCCACACAGCAGGCAGAAAGATCCTTCCAGAGCATAAGTCATATGATGTTCCTCCCCTGCTCTAGACCCTCCAATGACGTCACATCATCCTTAGGATAAAATCCAAAGTCTTACTATGACCCACAAGGCTCTACCTGATCTCGGCATCCAAGCACATTCCCTATCCCTCTCTCACTTGCTCATAGCTGTCCTTGAGGCAAAGGCCTCAGGGCTTTTGCACTTGTTGTGCTGCCCAGCGTGGCCTTCCCCTAGGTATCCACAGGGCTCACCCCCTCATTTTATGCACACCTAGCCTCGAATAGCATGTCCTTGACTGCTCTGCAGGTATGAGAGCAACTCCTCTCTCAGCGCAAGAACTCAAGAGCTCCTTACACTGCCTTTCCCCCATGGCACCCAGCAAGACCTGACATAGCAGTGAACAGTACTTTTGTATATTGACTGTCTCTTCAACCAGAACATAAGTTCCAGGGGCACAGGGCCTTTGTTTTGTTTATCCTTGGATCTCCAGCACCGAGAAGAGGGCCTGGGGCATAGCGGGTTCTAATATCTATTTACAGAAGGCATGAAGTCTATCACGTCTTTCTAATTCCCGCCTCAAGGCCCCTTTGTTGAGCTCCGGACCTGATTAGTAGCTCACTCTGAATGACTCTAATATCTTGAGGCTAGTTTTCACTCATGACTTTATAGTGTCCATCTTTATAAATACACCGTGTGATGGATTTTTAAAAATAGGCTTTGCTTTCCAGAACAGGTCACAGCAAAATTGAGCGGAAAGTACAGAGATTTCCTTAAAACCCCCGTCCCCGCAAACGTACACAGCCTCCTCCGTTATCAACATCCCAAAGCATAACATACATTCTTACAGTCAATGAACTTACACTGGCACATCATTATCACCCAAAGTCCATAGTTTACACTGGGGTTCACTCTTGGTGTCGTACATTCTATGTGTTTAGACAAATGTATAATGACATGTATCCATCACTACAGTATCAGACAGAGTATTTTCACTGCCCTAAAAATCCTCTATGCTCCGCCCATTCATCCCTCCACCCCAACCCCTGGCAACCACTGATCTTTTCGCTGTCTCCATAGTTTTGCCTTTTCCAGAATGTCATATAGCTGGAATCATACAGTATGTAGCCTTTTCAGATTGTCTTCCTTGACTCTCTATATTGGATATATTGGATACATTTTTCTTGTTTGTATTCACATTGTGTATTGGTCCTGACAGCTCCCTGATGGTCTGTACATGTCTCACTTGAGCCAAAAAAACCTACACAAAGTAAAAATGCCAGTGCATGGCCTCACTTACCTTAGTCTCGACCTTTACCCATTCTGTATCTACTTCTAATTTCTTCTTATGACGAACAACACGATTAGTCTTTTTGACTTCTCTCACAGGCTCCTTGACTTGTGCTGGCTGACTCAATAAACGAAATGTGATAGTCTCTGCAGCTTTGGTGTTGAGTAGGACTTTAGTAGAAAAGAGAAAGAAAACTTAGATCTATTTCTCTTAAGGTGCCTGAGGGTTTAAGATATGGGCCATATTCCCCCAAGTAAAGGAGGCTGCCAGGGAGTAGAAAGAGCAAGCCTTTGGAGAGAGACATGTAGGGGCTGAATTTCCAGCTCTCTCATTTTCTTTCGTTGAACACACATTTATCACGGGCCTACAGTGTGCCAGCCCAGTGTTGGATGCTAGATACCATGGTGAAGACCACCCAGTCCAGAGATGTGAGGAGTGTGTGTGGGGGAACATGCCAGCCACATGCCAATAACAAGCATGGCTGCTAATTCTGTTAACTGAAAACTTAGGCTATCGTGGGGAGTTGTTAAAAAAAGGAAACAGATCTTAAACATGTTATTTTAACTTAAAACATAAATGTGTATGAGCGTACCATTTTTAAACGCAGGGCAAGGTCTTTCCTTTGTGTGTGGTCTGATGATGGGCTCTGTGATCACTTTTGCTCAAACCACATTCATAATTTATTATCTATAATTTTCAGTCTTGGCGAGTTCTAAATAGTCTGAATGCAGAATTACAAACTTTAAAAAATTTTTCTATATATTCTCCAATCTTTTATGTATGTTTTGGTCCACATCTAGTTCAAAGAAATTTTTTTTAAAGCTATTTTCTTATTGAGTTTTCTTAAAGCATTCAATTTAGTTTTCATAGCAAGAACGTCTCTTTTTATCTTCATTTCTGTTCATTTTAGTAACAGTTGAATTTTGGAACTAAACTACCATGGACAAACTAGGGACAATGCTCGCTCCCAGTGACTCTGGGTCGGTGTCTGACAATCAGCGGGAGCAGCCGTGGCTGGAGCAGTGAGGAGGGACTTCCAGCTGGTCAGTATCAGCCAGGACACTCTTCACGGTAAAAGGCGGCTGGGTCTCTCAACAACTAGTTTAGGGGGAGGTCAGTTAAGAGAGCTTAGTTGTTTCACCATTGGGGGTCAACACAGTGTTGGAAGAGGTCATGGAGAGGACGTGACCGCTAGTTGACTGCGATTGGAGGCTGCTCAGCTTTCCCCTGTCCTTGGAATGTACGTTCTCCCCACCGTGACCACGGTGAGAGCTGTTTTCAAGGATGCAGCCTGGAGAATAATGTGTTGTTGAGACCATCTGGACTGAATATGTGACTGAAGCCAGGCAGGGCCTCTAGATAAACTTGAAGATGCTGGCGAGTGGGTGCGGAGACCTCCTTGTCCTGTGGCCACCCAAGAGAAGCCTCCTATGTCAGTCCCCTTGCTTCGGAAGCCTGCCCCTTACCAATCTGGAGTGGTCTGCCTGTTCCTCGGTTTCTCCTTGCCCTCTGAGTACGGGGGCCAGTTTTAAATTTCACCGGGCTAACTCCTGAGTTTGCAAACCAACACACAGGGTGCCATGGAGCTCCCTGGAGGGAACTCAACCCGTCCTGGAGGTTGAGGGGAACTTCTCATGGAAGTTAAGTCTCTAAAGTGCAAGGGGGAGTTCCCAGCATAAGGACTGTATGGTTGAAGGCTGGAGTGGGAACGGGCTAGTGGTGCCAGGTGACTCAGGAGAGCAGGCAGGGCTAGTTCATTCCTTTATTCACTCACTCAGGAAAGATCTACTGTGCACCTGTGTGCCAAGAACTACCCTAGGTATCAGGGATGCCATGGTCCCTGCCGTCCATTCTAGCAGGGGAAATAGATGCTGAAGAAGTGAACAGATAAAAGTGTCCTACACCAGATGGCTAGGAATGCTCTGAAGAAAAATTAAGCAGGGTGAGAAGGATGGAAAATGCTGTGCATGCTCGTGTGCATGAGTATGTGCACACACAGGTTTATAAAGAGCAGTGGAGAGACTATTTCTGAGAAAGTGACATTTAAGCAGAGACCCAAATAAAGTGAGGGAGTAAGCCGCAAGGATGTGGCAGAGAGGACTGCCCTAGGCGGAGGAACAGCAAGTACACAGGCCCTGTGGCCGTGGATGCCTGGCCTATTGATGAATAACAAAAAAGCCAGTGTGTCTGGAGAGGAAAAAAGGAAGGCCTTCTAAATTGCAGGAGGAATAGGGGCATTTTCCTGGAGGCAATGGAGGGCCAATGAAGAGTTTTAAAAAGATTATGGTGGAAACAATGTGAAGAAAAGACTGAGAGAGGAGAAAATGGGAGTCCGGGAGACAAAGGAGATCTTCCAGGGGAGAGAGGAAGGTTCTGAGGGGGTGTCAGTGAGAATGCAGAGAGGGTGGGATGGGGTCAGGGAGGAGAATCAAGGACCACGGCACTTCTGAGGAGCTCCAGAGGCCACTAATCAGAGCTCCGAGAGGGAGCTTTTCCTCAGGAAGGCGAGGAGAGAGAGGCGGGCAGGGGCAGGGGCGCTTGGAGATCTCTGTAAGAAGTGTGGGAGCGAGTCTCAGTCTCCCTCTGAGGAGCACCTTCTGCAGGGCTAGCTTACAGAATCGTCATGATTTGTCAGAGAGGAAAAGCTGAAGTGAGCCCAGCCTCTGTTCCTGAGCACCAATTAGAAATTAAGAGCGTGCATTTCTGAAATGGCAGTGATAAAAGAGGACCTCTATATGCTCATTTCTTTTCCCTGTCAGAATGCTAAAATCACAGACATTCTGGTTTGTGTTGCACGTTGGCTCTGCCTTTATTAGTGGGAGGCTTTAGGCTGCTTTTCTTTTCTTTTTTTTTTTGAGGAAGATTAGCCCTGAGCTAACATCTGCTGCCAATCCTCCTCTTTTTGCTGAGGAAGACTGGCCCTGAGCTAACATCTGTGCCCATCTTCCTCTACTTTACATGTGGGACACCTACGACAGCATGGCTTGCCAAGTGGTGCCATGTCCGTACCCGGGATCTGAACCGGGGAACCCCAGGCCGCTGAAGTGGAACGTGGGCACTTAACCACTACGCCAGCAGGCCAGCCCCGAAATGTTACCTTTTTTATATAAAAAAGTTCAAACCTTCTAGGCTTCAGTTGTCCAGAAAGGCAGGGAGTGGGCAGGGGTGGTGGTGAGGCACTATGGGGAATCTGGCCCTATCAAATTCCACTCTCCAGTTGGAAGTTCTACCCTGGGCATGGGACAGTAGAGTGTCCTGAAAGGCCACAATTTCCCAAAAGGTGCAAAAAAATCATGCATGCCTACATCTTTTCAAAGAACACTTATTGAGTGCCTACTGCATGCCTTGCTGAAGTGCCAAGGAATGAAAGACACAGGTGTCTTCAGCCCAGAGGGAACAGAAATATAGGCAGTGACAAGTATAGCATAATAAGTGTATTAGACATTTGTTGCTGTGTTTTTGGCTGCTAAGCATGAAGCCCCCTCCTTGTTTTGGGGGTACCACATTGTGTGAGTCTTGGTGGGAGGCAGGGCCCTCTCGCTATAGAAACTGAAAGTGGTGATTCCTTCTTCTCCCTGCACTAACTCCAACGAGGACATGAGACCTAGGCTGAGAAGCCTCCCACTTTTTCTTCTCCAGTCACACTAGCCTTTCGTTGTTCATTGAACATGCCAATGGCATGAATACTAGTTTTGTCCTGAGAGGTCTTGGGCAGAGTGTGGCTCATGTGCACACAATAGCTGGGTGATCTCAGGCAAGTCACTTAGCCTTTCTGAGCCTTAGTTTCTTTATCCTACTTCACATGATTATGAAGATTAATTTGAATCAGAGAGTGCATATGAAAGTACTTAGCCCCTAGCAGTTATTCCATAAGAGTTAGGTCAGGGGCATAAATTGGTATTAGGGGACTGGAGCACTGTCTTAGGAGGGAATCTGAGGCCGCCTTGGCTCAGCAAGAAAAAGTATCATGACTGATTAGCTATGTCTGCCATGGGTATGGTTGCCAATTCTATGTTTGTTGGATCCAGTAACCTGAAAGATGTTCCATATGGTGGTTTTGAATTTCTGAATCAAGTAGCCTGATAGGTTAAGCTCTTGGTCCAAGTTTTTCATGATTAGACCCTAAAACTGGCAACCTCCATGACTGGGAAATCTGAACAGCTGGACCTCAAAAGCCTTCAGTATCTGGTAAAAGGGCTCTTTCTTTCCCAAACTCTGTGTTAATAATGACTTCTTAGAGCCCCTCAAATCTACAATGATACCTTCCCGTGTGGTCCCATGGCATCCCCTCCCCACCACAGTGGTGACCATTCTATATGCAAACTCTCTGCTTCCTTGTCTATCCTCCCCACCCCTACCCATCCACCCCACCACCCCCACCAAAGGAGGAGCCCGTTAAGGTCCCAGACTGTGTCCATCTTGCTCGGTATTTCATCCCTGGCTGCTGGGACCTTACTAGCTCAGCAGGTGCTCAAGTGAGGGGACAGGGGTTTCTGCCTCCTTTATGGTACACGGCAGAAGGTGAGAGGCAGCGAGACTCACACAGAAGAGCCAGTCACACGATGGAAATGGTAGAGGGGTCCTTACTTTCACGTTTCTTCATAAACCAGGTGAATATTTCTCTGTATTTTTCAAAATTTTTCTTCAACCTAAAAGTAATGTGAATTACCTTTAAAAGCTGGGACTAACTTCACATTTACATGTGTAGACAGTGCTAGAGCCCGCTCAGTCTTTTTCATAGATGGAAAGTTGGGCTGATGGCTCTGCTTTTGGACCCAGTTTTTCTGAAAGCCACACTAAGGCACAGCTTTTCAAAATAATCAAGACCTTAACCCTCTCTCAAGTCAATATAAAAAGCGAGTCACCCTGGCCTTCCAATAGCTTGGACCGTTCTACTCCCAAACAAGGGTGGACGCCAGGGGCAGCTGCGTTCCCTGGTTCTCAGATCAGAGCCCCTTTGAAAGGGAATTCACGAGAAAGAGTGAGCTTCCAGGGCTTAACTGGATCTGAGAAGGCCTTTGATGTGACAGATTTTGAGTTCTCAGTTCAGATTCCTCGGAGAGAGGATAATAATTTAACCCTGAGTAACCCCAGGAAGCAAATACCCTTGGCTGGAAAGGGCTGAGCTGTTTTACCTGGAAGTTAGTGGAGGTTTACTATTTATATTTTAGAGGCAACAGTGGAACTTGAGAATGAGCTCTTCATGGCCTGTCTGTACCAAACGTTATTTGCTTTATTTGCAAAGCTTTGAATGAAATTGAAGCGGTTACCGAGCTTACTATCACCTGTGAAAGAATGAGGACCGAGGAGTGGGTGGGATGAGGCTGTCCCGCAGGCTGAGAGCAGGATGTCAAATGTATGCAAGAGTTAAATTCCCAGGAGGGGATCCAGCCAGAGGCATCCAATGTCCTTTTGGGAAGCTTCTCCCCTTGGCCCTTTGCCCACCTTTGCAACCTGGTGGAATCCTTACCAGCTAGCTCCTCAACGGCAGAGACTCTGGGGTACACACTACTGTATAGACCAGCATGCAGTAGATCGGCACACGGTAGGTGCTCAGGAAATATTTGTTGAGTGCAATCAGGTTGGAATGAGCCTCCAACAAAGGCTTAAATGGGAAGGAATGGGGGAAATGTCACATATGAGGCTGGATCACTCACCAGGATGTTATTCAGTGTTTGTTTCTGCAGTTGTATAAGGGTCTGATAGCTTGGATGTTCTTTGTGTTCTGCTCTGTGTATTTCGCCTTCCCCTTTCCTAGAGAAACTTTGGGGGTTTCTGGCCCCTGGACTCTTACTGAGTCCAGAGCAGAAGTTGCTGGCAGTCAGTTTCTTTTCCTGATCTTTGTGAAAGCCTCAATTTGCCAAGGAGGTTATGCAGGGCATCCCCCACCCCCACAGCCTGTTCCTTGGTCCCACTGCTGAGTGTCTGCAACGGACCCATGGGAGGCCTGAATACGCACCTCGCTCGCCAAGGTTTCTGACAGCAGGATAAATGAAAACCGGGGCTCCCGTGAATCATGGGCCGGGTGTACGAACGGGGTTCTAGAACATTTTGTGACTTAGGACCATGCCAACTAGAAAGACTCAGTACCAGCAAGAGTCTGTGATTTCCCACTCCAAATAGGGTCTCTGGCCACAACTCCCAGGTCAGTGAAGCCTGTGGCTGTTCCCCTCCAGGGAGCATGGAAAAGCATCGGCCAGCCCAGGATAAAGCCAGGGAATTTCTTGGGCAGGTGCCCATGATCTTGATGCCCCATTGTCCCTTCTTTGCAAAGACCCATGGATCTGAGCCTTGCTCCCCAGACTTTTGTACAAATTCATGGTCCTTTGAAGACTTTTCTTGTCCTGGATTTCCAACCTCTGTCGCTGCCTGCCTTTGATCCTATCCTGCACCTCCCATGCTTGTAGATTTCCTTCTCTTGAGTTTGGGCAGCCAGATCGTTCTATCTTCCTGACCCCTGGTCCTACCCTTGTCCTGTGCCTGGCTTGTGCCTGCTCTTTGCCTCAGGAGACCTGACTGGCCCCGGCCTTGCTCTTTTCTCTGGTGGCCCAATTTATATTTTCCCTGCTGCCTCCTCTGGCCTGCCTGAATCCACTGACCAGTAACACCACCTCTCCAGTCACTTACAGAATTCCCAGTTTCCTTCTGGTTTCACCCTCCAGATGGCCAGTCAGGGGAATGTCAACATCCTCTTCCAGTTCACTGCGAGCAGCCATGGCTTCGATCATGGTCCTAAACACTGACTGATAGGAGCTGCTGAAAACCTACAATGAATGAAATATCCAGAAAATGGGAATTATGATTGACTAATTAATCACTTTTATGACTCCCAAAGGTGCCAGGTGAGACTTCAACATGTTATTCGGAAAACACAAACAGTGGGAACAGTAGGGTGGCTAGCAAGATTTGTTTTAAAGGATATTTCTATTATTATCATACCCTCTCCTCACTCCCCAGTTTCCTCAAGATATTTGTGTGTGTGCGTAAAGAAGCCTGTCACTGAGCTAACATCTGTGCCAATCTTCCTCTGTTTTATGTGGGAGGCCGCCACAGTGTGGCTTGACAAGCAATGCTAGGTCTGCGCCTGGGATCGGCACCTGCAAACCCTCGGCCGCCAATGTGGAGTGCGTGAACTCAATCACTACACCACTAGGCCGGCCCCTCAAGAGTTTTTTTTAACAGCAGCATACCAAGAAATCTTCTGAGAGCATAAAATTACCCTCTTTTTCCAAATGTGGAGATGGCTATAGAATGTAAAAATGCTTCTGTGTTTTAAGAGCATCACAGGCTTTCTGAGTTCCAGGAATGGCCAAGTTCCCAGTGGTTGCTCACTCATTCACTGTGAAGGATGACAGCCTTCAGGAAAGCAATGTAGCACCCAGCACATTATTGCAGTAGACAATTCTGTGTTTAAAGATTCTTCCAAAGCAATGACATTGCAAGCTGCCCCCCTCCTTTTTTTTTTTGCCCTGAGCTAATCCTCCTCTTTTTTTGGTTGAGAAAGATTAGCCCTGAGCTCACATCTGTTCCAATCTTCTATTTTATGTGGGTTGCCACCACAGCATTGCTGTGGATCCAAACCCATGAACCTGGCCATCGAAGTGGAGCACGCCAAACTTAACCACTAGGCCACGGGGCTGGCCCTGCAAGCTGACTTTTTATTTTGTAAATATGACCATTCTATCCTAAGTCCATGATGCTAACCAGCACTGACCCATAGGTGGGTCCTCATAAGAGTTTCTTTCGGGGATCCCTTTCGTCGGAAGGTGAAGTTTGGCTTGCTGTCGAGGAGATCCATGGATCTGGCGTGTTGCCCTGCTCACGTACAGGTTGAGGTTGTTATTGTGGTTGTTCAACATTGGGTAATGTACAGTATGCCATTAACTTATTGGCCTCCTATAGTGAGTGGAAGACCAACGTATGCAAAGTTGCGTGTGACCTGGGAGGGATGGGAGAAGGTAGCATGTGGTTGCCCGGTTTGTCTAGGGTGGAGGAAAACTGGGGTGCCTCAGGTCTGGCTTGCTTGATTCCCAGCCTCTGCACACTCCTCTTCCCATTGCTAGTGTTAAACTAATTGAACAAGGAGGCCAGTAGATTTGAGGTGGCTCTAATACCACGGTGGCCTGTGTAAGTAAACCAAAATCTAAGCCTGTAAGTGCCTCAACGTTACGAAATTGAAACCCAAGCCCAACCTGTCACAAGCTGCCGACAATAAGGCTTTTACCTCCGGCCAATCAATAATTTCCTTGCTTTGCTTCTGCCTTTTCTCTGTAAAAGTCTGTCCCCAGCTTTTGTCGGTGGAGTGCTCCTCACCACATCCTGTTTGGTGATGCCCCATTTGAATCGATACACACTCTGATAAACTCTTAAAAACTTTAATTTGCCTCAGTTTATCGTTTAACACTGGAATCAGTGCTTCAGGGTGGGTTGAGGTTAAGGCCCGTGTTGACAATAATTCCTGCCTCTAAATTCCTCATCGTTGAGAGTCCCTCCCTTGGGATGGAGTGACTTCTTATTTGCCTAGGCCAGAGATCTTCCACCATCCCCTTTGGATTCTAAGTTTTGTTCATGAGAAAATATGGTGCCCACTGTGGTCCACTAGACAAGAGAGCCACTGGGTGGCCCAGTTGAAGTTCTCGTCCCATCTGAGTTATGCCGCTCCACTCGATTTCGTGAGCAACATGATGTCCTATGCGGTTTGTCACACCTGCTTCCCGAGCCGATAGAGTGGAACTATCCTCATTGTCGTAGTGAGCGCATTGGGCACCCCAGTGATGAGTTCCCCCGTGTGCAGAGACTCCTCCTGGGTGAATCTGTGTTTCTTGCAACCAAAAGAGTTTGCACAGCAGGGTTTGTGTGCATGAGTGTGTCATAGAAATAAAACAGCATGTAAAGTAAACCAAAAACAGCAAAGGAGTCAAATAGTCAGAATAACCACAGTAAGGGTTGATAGCCCCTATTCAAACAGGAGGACTTCAGTGGCCTCTCCCTAGTTTATACCCCAGTGGTTTCTGGTGTTCCCCCAAAAGGGACCTTAAAAGTCCACACAAACAAGTCTTTCAGCTGCGGGTACCACGTGGCACTCATTCCGTTCTTCCTGTCCTGCTCTGGCCCCCGTTGTTCACATCTGCCACCTACAACTTTGCCTGGAGAAGTACCGCTTCGCCGGGCTGCACAGCTGCCCGTTAGGAGAATGCCAGAAACTGGGCCACAGGAGGTTCCTCAGCATCCTCCTAAGCTTCCGGTCCTGGGGGGCAGAGTGGTATGGAAAGCAGGGGGAAAGCACCCCTCAACTCTGTGCCGTACTTTGTCACCTGGGCAAAGCCTCTGAGATGGCAAGACAAGGTGCTTGTGACCGGAGCTGGCCCATGCAGCCCCCCTGTCACAAGGAACCCTCCCAATGTGCCGTGCTCATCCAGAACTTTGCATAGCAACAAGGGAGATGTCTCATTTCGGCCTGCGACTGCCGCTCTGCCCGATACAGCAAAACCTCAATTGACTGGTGTGCTGAAGGTTTCTGAATAATCTAAGTTTCTTCTTTTTTTTTAATGCTTTTTTGGTGAGGAAGATTGGCCCTGAGCTGACATCTGTTGCCAATTTTCCGTTTTTTTTTTTTTCCCTCCCCAAAGCCCCAGTACATAGTTGTATATCCTAGTTGCAGGTCATTCTAGTTCTTCTATATGGGATGTCACCACAGAATGGCTTGGTGAGTGGTGCTAGGTCAGCACCCAGGATCTGAACTGGTGAACCCTGGGCCACCATAGCAGAGTGCACAAACTTAACCACTCAGCCCTGGGGCTGGCCCTGTAAGTTTCTAATTAAATCAATTCCTTTAGATTTCAACTCCAGCTGAAAAATCTTTCTAAAATGTCTGAATTTACTTTCTTGTCTTAGTAAATCCAATGTGGCGAATCTAAGTTCAACTAATCTTTTTTTCCCTTCGATGTGGTATTTCAGTGTTTGAAAAGCAATTCTTATTAACAAATGTGTATAGAAGCAAGTGTAGAAAGTAAGGAATTTAGACCTAAATATGTACTGAGACCAGAAAATTCTCCAACTAAAAAAAGTTTTCTTAAAAAAACTAAATACCTAGTTTTCTTTTTTGTCTTCTTTTAGGTAACTTTAGAAAAATATATCTGCTGAATTTTGAGTTTCAGGGACACAAGATTTTATTCCTGTGATTGTAGTTAGGATCTACAACCCTGAGGAAGTGTCTTAGCCTTAATGAAAAGGATGCATAATAATGCTTCCACCTGAATCGACATGTATTGCAAGTCTTAGAGGTAAGTTGGCACAGGAGCTTGGAGCCACCAGGCTGTACCAGCATGAAAAAATTCATGCAGTAAAGACAATACAACACACTGTAGATGTCAGGCTTATTCAAACCATTATGACTTCCCATCTTGTCTCTGGTTTTTGGGTACCGCTGGGGGAAAGGACATCCACTGGATCTCAGGGCTGGTTCCGTGCCCTCTGAAAGGTGGTCGTCACAGACTGCAGGTCTGGGGGAGGCGGCCCCCGGCTATTTGTTGCAGTGTTTGCCGGCACTGTGGAGGTCATTGTCTAGAGCTTCTGTCTTGCAAGGCCACCTGATTCTTGGTCCTTTGGTGAGAAACAGCAGGCTTTTCTTAGGGCTTTCGCTGTCTGTGCTCATTGGGGATTCTGGGCTGCCGTCTTCTAGAAGCCAGTCAGGGATATATGAAGCAAAAAGAAAACTCAGGAAACTTACCGCCATGTCATTCCTTGGGCCCCAAGGTCCCTAGCTGGTCTGCTGCCTTCTCTCTGCCTTTCAGAAGCTTCTTAAGTTTGTTTTACATATCACGTCTAGGGTAGCTGTATTTAGTGGGAAAAGTATATCTAGTCCATCTTTCCAGGATCTAACTTCATTTTTACATAGAGTTTCTTCAAACAATGATTTGCCTTGATATCTAGGTAACGTTGATGTTTTGTTTTTGGCTTTGCTGCCTTCAAAAGCAACTCCGAGGGTGTTTGTTCCTATTACCAACAGGGCTCTGGGAAGTGCGGGTCTTCTGACCCTCCTTGAGTTAATGTGTGTCATTTAAACTTAGGTCTGTTTTATGAAAGCTCACCAGGGCCGCGCTAACAATGGAGTGAAGCTGTGAATCCCAGGGCTCAAGGGGCAGTGCCCGCCGGCCTCGAGCCCCCCTGCTCCACCATTTGGAGCAAGGGAGTCTCAGTGTTTCTCCAACTTACATTGTTACTGAAGCTCTCCATTTCCAGGGTTTCAATGGGCTCATTTAATACACGATCCCAAAAGCTCCCTTGGGAAACAAACTCCATGGCTTTCAATTTTGGAAGTTACAGCAAAGGGAAAGGCATTTGGAAAAGGAATCAAAACAAAAGACAAAAACAGAAACAGGTTTATGACATTCATCCTTGCTCTTTGAAATGAAAACACATCATCATCAATAAGACTAAGTCAATTCACAAAATTACCTAAAATTCAACTTGAGGATGTTAATAAAATAGGCATACAAAGGTCAGTTTCAGTAGCTGACTTAAGAAAGTGAGTTGTGTGCTCCTGGTGGCTGGCGAAGTTTCATGCGACAAGGTGACATTTGAGTGAGTCCTGAATGAAGCAAGGAAGGGAGACAGCTGGGGAAGAGCATTCCCCAGCAGGGAGCTGAGAGGTGCAAAGGCCCTGAGGTGAGAGTGGGTGGGAGTGTACTTGACATATTTGACCAACTGCAAGAGGCACAGTATGCCTGGAGAGGAGCAGAGCGTGAAGGACGATGGCAGGAAGGGACAAGCGGCAGGGCTAGCTCACGGAGGACCTTGCAGGCTGCAGGAAGGATTTTAGACTTTATTCTGAGAGAGATTTATTCTGAGTGTAATTTTCCCTTGGAAGTCTTGAGAAATATTCCTATCTCCCGCCAGTTTTGTCAAAAATTGCCAATTTCCAGAACTGCATATGGTTCATGCTTGCTAATTAAAGTGTAAGAGATGAATCCCCAAGCCAGTGAGCTAAAAAAAAAAGTCTACTAGTGATAGCAAATGCCTTTGTTCTCAAGGTCAGCCACAGCCTGGTGACTCTCTGGGCCAGGAGAGGGGCTTAAAGCCTCCAACGAGACAGGGTGCAAACTGAATGGAGGAGTTGATAATTACAGCTTGGGCCGCGTGTCCCTGCTCCTGGGAATGCGTGGATCCGGAGACGAAAGCGGAGAGGAAGGGCTCTCACAGGATAATTGGGCCCCCGGGGAAATCATGGTGGCCTGTTGTCTCAGCTTCGGGATGAGACCTGCCCGTCAAGCTGGGCCATCCAGACAGCCCTGAAAATCCACCAGGTTGACTTTTTCTGTCTGATTTTGTGTCCCTATCACACCTTTGCGGGCGGACAAGGGACATTCTTTGTGGTCTCCACACACACTGATTTTGTACTTCTTCCCAATTTTGGTTCAGTAATAAAAATGCCGACTCCACTGGGGCCCTGGTGGGATGGAGACCTGCTCTCAGCTGGGTCTGTCTGTACCGACCAGGCCCATGGGCCTTCCCACCCGCAGATCTCCTACCCTTGCTTCGGTTTGCTCCTGACAGAAACCCGCTGTCTGCGGTGGACCCCGGGCTTCGAGGGTACCCCCTGCAGTTCCCACAGGACATGCCTTCCCCACTGGGGTCCTCATAACTGGCAAAGGCAAGGAAGAAGACAAAAACACTGTGTGCCCCCATGTCTGCGTGGACATGGCCTAGAGAACTTCTAAAGAGCCATTTAGGAAAAGCCAATGAGGCTCTGTGAGAATTCACGAGAGCACCCAGGAAGCTCCTTTTGGTTGTCCCTGGAGAGCAGACAGGAAGGAACAGGCAGGACAAGGGTCTGGAGACACCGAGAGGCAGAGCCTCGTGTAGGATTCTGTGAGTATGTGCCTGGCCTGCATTGAGAGTAAGTCTGGCCCTGGCCCTGATAGCTTAGCAAATCCCCATCAGTTGTGATTGCCTTATTTTAATGGGCTTTATCGAATAATATAGTTAATTTGAGGGGAAGAACCAGTAGGTGTTTATGAAGTGAAGAGGGTGGCTTGGCAGCTTGATTCCTAATTAACCTTCCCTTTGGGGATTTCTGTCAACCTCTACCTTTGTTTCTAATGAGATCATTTTCTTCCCCTGAAGTTGCTCTATGGGAGGATGGGGGTGGGGAGACTGCAGAGGAGTGTCAGGCCAGGTTCTTGAGTGGTGGCCCTGTCATCCAGGACCTGGGCCACTCTCAGCCTGTCACTCAGCCCCTATGCATCTCGTCCCCTCCTCTGTGTAACGGGAACCATAGGATTCACCTTCAGGATAGCTCAGAGGAGCGTGCGGATGGGTAAATGCCTGGCATACGGGATTCCCTAAAGTGGAGCGTGTCTTCTCTGGGTCTGATTAACAATAATTCTTAATTCTTCCCCATCCAACCAATGTCTCTCCTCTAACAGTTTTTCTTGACAGACCACAGTTCCTGAATTTGGGATAGACATTTCAGCCGTGTGTATTTGCCCTGCAGAGCACATCCCCACATTACAGATGAGGACAGGGAGGGGAGAGGCAGTAAGCAACTAGCCGGGGTGCCAACTCTGAGAAATGAGCAACCCAGCTCCACTGACAAATGAGCACACAGATGAAACTCAGTCCTCTTTTCACCTCCTTGACCCTTTATGTAGTGGATTCCCTGTTATCCTCGATAGGTGGATCAAGGCTTGGTCTAGTCTTGCGGTTGCTATGGGCATGAATCTATTAGGCATTCTAAACCTTGCTACTCAAAGTGTGGTCCATGGATCAGCAACAGCAGCTGCTGCTGGAAGCTTGTCAGAAATGCAGGATCTCAGACCTACTGAATCAGAATCTGCACTTTAGCAAGATCCCTAGATGATCGCTCTGTCTGTTAAAGTTTGAGCAGCCCTGCTCTAAACCCTCCTGGAAATGGAATAAGATGAAGAAAACTCTATTGATCAGTACCCTTCTGGAGGTGGTGGGGTGGTGGATGGGATGGACAGAGTTTGAAAGTTTGTTTGATAAGCCACCTGTGTAGGTAAGCCCTGATTCTCCTCCCAGCCCCCACCCTGCTGAAAGACAACAGGTCATAGTCCCTAAATTGTTTTCTAACAGGATGGGTCTAGTTAATTGCAGGGCTTTTGTTTTGTGGAGTGATGTATGCAAGGTGGGACACTGCCACCATAAGGGTTCTCCCTTGTCCTTCCCCCGTCACAAGATTCAACTAACCCATCCCTAATAAAAAATTAATGTCTTTAAGGGTACCGTTTGTGGGGGCTCCAATTTACCTTCTTCCAAGGTGCCATCGAATGAGTCTATCTGGAGGGGTCCACGTGTCCCACTCAAGCCTTGCTGCCAGACCACAGGGAACCCAGCAACCAACTGGACCCTCTTTAAGTGTGGGAGTCCCTGTACCAGAGCTTGAGCAGAGAGATGGACTTCTGGTCCTGTCCCAGGTCATTCTGTCTCGCTCCAGAGACCCTCTTTCTGTTTCTTGTTCTATCCCCCTTCTTCAGGAAAGGACATGGAAACACATCCAGGTTTGGGGGCTGCATGCCCAGAATGTCCCAAGGTCCTCTCTAGGACTTGGTGCAAGCTGCACCAGCAAGCGACCCGCCCACCAGGGGCACCATCCTTAGAACAGGACACTCTGCAGGGAGCCGTCATCTTTGGGTATAGGATGTGGGACTCACCATTTTCTTGCTCTTGTGGCGCTTCAGGGATACCACACGCTGAAGAAGAAGAGGAACAATCCTTAAGGGAGTGTGGTGTGGGGAATTAGTCCGGATCTTTTGATTCCCCAGGGAATCAAGTTAAAAATCACCTCCTAAGTCGCTGGGGAGGCGAGGGTGGAGCGCGCATGTTTTGGGATAAGAGGCTTCCATGACCTGCAGCAGTTTGGGGTCTGTAGCTCATGCTCAACGAGTATTGATTCCCCTCCCTTCCTTCATGTTTCATGCCCACTAGAGTTTCAGTTCTGAGAGGGTGGGTGGGTTTTGTTCCTCTTTCTCTCCTGCCCAATATACAGTAGGTGTACAACGAATGTCAGTAGGTGTACAGTAAACGTCATGGAATGAACTGAGTATAATAAGCCGTTGTCTTCCCTCCAAACTCCAGCAGTAAATATTGTTTCCTCTCTCCAAAATTCAATTTTAATTCAAATTTGAAAGTACTTTCCCCTCTGGCTCAGTTTCTTCCCTGAGCCTTGAGCCTTGCCATCAAGCCCTAGGAATAATGCCTTGGCCACAAGCCTTAAACTAAGGCAGCCCTAGTCTAAAATGGTCAAAAGAAGACTCCCTCTGGCCCGGGGGAATGCTCATTCTCTGCTTCTTACCTTTTCATGGATAGATCTGTAACTTCTGCAAGTTGTTTAAAATCATCATAAAATTATAAAATTAAAATGATACCTTCCAAATCAGACATCAGCATCATTGTTGGGCTTCCGTGTTTGCTTGTAAGTCTCAGTTTTGAAGCTGCTGTTAAAAGACAGAAGAGGGTGGCCATTCATGATTTTGACCTCACACTTTCCAGTGAGTTCGTATTGGACGTTTAGGGTCTGAGGGTCTTTCTTGGCCCCCAAGGCTGATCAACGGAGGGGAAAAACCAGTTGGAGGCAGTGCCAGCATACACCAGATGCGCCCCCTGCCCCTCCTCCTCTCCTTTAGTTTGCTAACTTATTCTAGGACCACAATAAACTACTGGTGGGGAAATGTAGCCCCTCTGTGGCCTTCTTCTCTGGTCACCATGGTGCCAGTTTGGGTCCCCAGGATAGATAGGATGGCTGGGTTTGGGGGGTGGGTACTTCAGAGATATTCCTCTGTCTGTAGGAGGAGTAGCTGTAGGAAGCATGGAGCCAAGTGGCTCCAAGGCCATGTAGATACATTATGGGGTATGTCTGTCACTGAAGGAAGTGGGCGGTGCTGGTGTTCTGTCGCCATGGGTTCCCCGAGAGGTGCACAGTGGGGGCTGGCTGGGAAACAAAGGGGCTGTCTAGTACAGATCCACTGAGATATGCAACGGGAGGCCACTATTTTTTTAGAACTTCTGGAAGTTCTTGGTTACCCTTATTTCATGTCTTCTGGAATTTTGTAGTCCTGCCCTTTTTTTTGCCTCCCCCAACCCCTACCCCTCCCTCTTCCTACTCCTAAACATTTGAGTGTCCCCTCTCCACATTCCATTCTTGATAACACAGAGGAGCAGGCCCATGACGAAAACGCAAAGGTGAACCACTCCATTGTCCCCAGGCAACGTCGGGATGGGAGCCGGGTCTGCGGTGCCGGGATGAGAAGCCTTGGGCGCGCGCACGCAGTGTCTGTGCTTGCTGGTTCTTCAGCTGCGACTGACCCATCTACAGATGAGGAATTCTCCAGCTTTACGAAACCTCTTTCCACCATGGCCTCATTCTGACTGTCAGGAATAATGTCTTTTTCTTAACATATTTCCCTGAAAGTGGTCCTGTTTTAGCCCTTCAGTGCAGATGGAGAGTTCAGGCCTCGGTTTTGTGTGGCGGATCATCAAATGTTTGAAGGCAGTTATCCTGAGAGTCACGTGTCTTCCAGACTGAACATCCCCCTTTGCTTGAACAGTTCCGTGTATGACGTAGGCTCCAAGTCTGTCTGACACCCCTTCTCCTCTGAGCCCCAGCCACGTGCTCGTAGCCCTCACAGAGCGTGGTCCCTCAAACTGAACGGCTGTCCTGAGCCTGGCCCTCCAACACAGGCTAGAGCAGGACGAACCCCCCTTTCTATAAACTTTCAATTGTATTTGGTTATATTAACTTTTCTGGCAGCCACATCAGTCATACCACTGACTTATTGAGCTTGCGATTGAGTAAAGCATCTGCAACAAACAGGGCCTCTCCATCTTGTACTTCTCTATCCTGTTGTTTTTGTGGGCCTAAGAGCAGGTTCTCATGTAAATTACCATTATATTTTATCTAGCCAGTCAGTCCTGGGCCAATGTTTCTGCCTGCCAGAATCTGATCACATTATCCCCATCACCCAACAGCTTCAGGTCTTCTACGAATACAGACGGGCCCCCTACATCTGTGTCCAAGTCCATGGTACAACGTACTGGACAGAGCCCTATGGCTCCCCACTGGAAAGCGGGTTGACCCTGATCCTTAAACAGAATCTCTGGGTGGTTATTTAACAGTTATTGCTCCGCCATCTGACATTAGCATCCACCTGACAGTTCTCTATCTTGTCCACAGGAACATGAGAAAGCCTTTGAAAATGAAATGTTGTGGAATTTGGGCCTGCTGGGTGACCACAGCTCCCTCATCTAATAACTTTGTCAAAAGGTGACCTAGCATCCAGCATTACTTGATTTGTTCTGACTGAGCCTATGCTGCTTTCTCATAGTCATTTTGCTCGCAATATTTGACCCAGATTGGTCGCAGACTCATTTCCCCAATTTTCCGCAATTCCTCAAAAACCATAAACACGATTAAGGTCTCTGCTCTCTATGGGTATTCTAGGGTGTTTATCTAGGCCAGGACACAGAAGTTACTATTCTCTTCTGATCTCGTCACCAATCTTTGGTTTCTGCTACGTCTTGCGTAATTTTTTTGCACGCCTTTCAATCTGATGATCATTTTCCTTCACAGCGAAGTAAAAATTAAATAGCAGTTGAAGAACATGACTTCCTCTGAATCATTCCTTAACATTGCACTAAACAGTGGCCCTGTCTGCCTTGATCTTTCTGCCCCTATCCCATTTTAAAAGGGCCCCTTATTTAGTTGCTGCCTGCAGGATTATTATTAATATTATTACTATTACTATCACTTTTTGGTAAGAATTAGTTTATCCTGGGCTTCAACTCTCCTGACACTATTTTTAAAGTTCAGTGCCATTTTCTTACCTTCACTGTCGGTAACCTTCTCATCTTTTTAACCTTTGGACATGATTTCAAAATCTGAGTGCATTGAAGGAATCTCTGTGCAAACACTAGTTTGCACTTTTGGGGGCTTTCCATTCTTCTTCCCCATCTGGCCAGGTGGCTGGAAGGAAACTGCTCCACTGATGGCACTTCCCTCCCTCTGCGTATCCCCACCCACACTTCTATGCCCACAGTGTCTCGATGTGTGCATATTTCCATACACAGCCCCCTTCCAAGCAAGGCTGTGTTTTGGGAGTAGGAAACACCCTCTCATCACTATATCTGATCTTGAATCAGATGAGCATTCGACAACAATTTCACAAATATTTAATAAATATTTATAGGTGCTTACTATGTGCCAGGCACCAGCTCTTGAGGGTTTCTACCAGCGGGGCTAGAATGCTCTGTGTTAGGACTTCCGGTCTACTTTGCTTATGACTCTGCTCTGTGCCTGGATAGGTAGACACCTGAGGCCATCAATAGTCCTTCTGGTCCTCCTTCAGAACGCTTCCTCACATGGGTCATGAGGCATTTCCAGTGGCTTTGGCATTCCTTCCTTGTGAGACCTGCTACTCTCTGTAGTAATAGGTTTTGAGGATTTATTTGGGTGTTTTTTCTCCATATTTGGTTCAAAGTTTTATTTGTCGAGAAGGGCCTTGCCACGTGAAATGCTGTTTCTGGCCCACTGGGGTTGAACAGTCCCATAATAAAAAAATGCTTTAAAAATAGGAACCTAGCACCCATGAAATACATCCTACACTGGAGGTTATCTGGCTCTCCAACATTCCTGTGCCTAAGCATCCTCTGGGAATCTTGTTAAGAATGCAGGCAGGAATCCTGATAAGGAAAGCTGGGAATCTGCATCTTTACAGGCACCTGGTGATGGGGACGCACAGCCGTGGACCTCAAGGAGCAGCAGTGTCCACAGCTGCTCTCATCTCCGCTTGCTCCTGCTGCCTCGGCCCCACACTGCCAGCTCTTTGGATTGCTTTTGCCTTGATTGTCTGAGTTTCTCCAGCAAGTGGATTGGTGCCTTCCGCCCTAGGCTGAAAGCAGATTCTTTTTTGCATCCACCATGCTTGGGAATCTTTAGTGTTCTGTACTCCAACTGCAGAAGGACTGGCTGTCCTTCTTGGCATAGGCCGCATCCCCATCACACACAGATCGTTTTCTCTGTGTCCCTTTCCTCTACCTCCTCTGGACACAGTTTTGAGCTCTTCTCCTTTCCTGGAGCACCATACTTCCTGGTTTCCTCCTGCAGCTTCCTCACTTTCTCTCACAGCTCTTCACTCTCTCAGAGAAGTCTCTGTCACATATTTGCTCCAGTCCATTGGCCAGACACAGTTATGTACCAATTACTGGCACATTTTATCCAATTATTACCAACGCTCTCCAGAAAGATAGATTGCAAACCATGGGCAGAAGGGAGTAGAAAAACCTCCATAAATTTTAGAGAATTCCTTGCTTTTCATTGTGTTTCAGTCTCTGCTGTAACCACCATCCCTTCAGGTAACTGCAGGAACCTGGGGTGTGTCACTGACCCTGATTTAGAGGCTCCATCGCAGTCCACACCTTTAGTCCAGGTCACCCACGTTGCAGTATTTGATCAGTTAGCATTTACAGTGTGGGGCTAGACTTTCAATAAACACTAAATATATCGGCTTTAAGGAACTCAGTAGTAGAAAGACACTTAGCTGCAAAACATGCGCCTACAGACCAAATATGCAGAGTGCTTACAAGCTAAATTACGTACAGACCTGGGTAGCTCTGTCAGTTAAGCTCAGGGACCAAAAGGATCACGAATGACCAGGTCAAATAAAATAACGACTTCAGGAGGGGCTCTCTCTGGAGGTGGGTCCACAGCGGTATGACGAGGCTCTGGAGCCCCTCCTTCCCACTCCCCAGCCTTCTCCTGTCTCTTTTCTCCTCTCCCACATCCTCTCAAGCTTAGCACTGGCACTTTACAGGTGATTACCCAGTCAATGACTTTCAGAATTCTGCTTAGGAATATTTAGATAAATGATCAGATTTTTCCCAGCTGTCATGCTTACTGACTTTGAAAGGGTTCCAGTTCTCAGGGCTCCCTCGGACCACACGTGCTCACAAAGGTCTCCCATGAACCGATTTAGCCTGTAGAATACTCCTCATCGTGTGCTGCCTATGCCACTGAACCTGGGCCGGCCCTGTGCCTCTCCATTCTCCCTCATAGGGTTGCTGGCTCCTGATTTCATTTAACCACATTTGAGCCACAACATATAGCAGACACGGATGGGGCGGGGAGGTGAAGCGATGGGGGAATCTAATTTACCGCTGCCATGACTACAGATGTGAGATGAATCTGTGAATCTGTGATGGATCAATCTCACTGAGGCTGGATTTAAATTATTAATAATAGTGAGAAATGCTGTTCAGTGTTCCATCCCCAGGATCCTAGAGTGAGGCGCTTTTAGCCTTAATTGGGTAGAGGATTAAGATCCTCGAGGCAATCTTGCCGAACTCTCTCTAGGGTGTCTCCCAGTTGTGGCCACAAAAGTTCACACCATGGATGTTTGTGGCTGGTTTTGAATCAGAGCTGACTTTGACTGCCTGCTGAGACAGAGTCTGGGGTGGCCTGAGGCCCATTTGCTACTGTCCATGAGATGATCTCGGTATGGCCTGTCACCGCAGGGAACTAGTCTGTAATCGAGCAAGGAAATGACCTGTGTCCCTGGGGAAATAGGGCCTGTGTTCATGTGGAACAAGGACAGGAAGACTAACGAAGAGACAGGGAGAGACTGAAGAAGCGATTTGTTTCAGCACTTTGCTGGTGCTCATTCTCTTAGGGGCTCTGGGATGGAGAAGGGGGCAGCAGGGCTAGGAGAGGAGTTTAACTTCTTACCCAAAACATGACTTCAAATGGCCCAGGAAGCGGTCTATATCGTTAGCATGAGAGTCAGTAGTCAAGTCACAATATTTCACATAAGTGGAATGCGTTCCTGCCCCTCCCCCCGGGGAGCCAGCAGGGCACAGTTTTCCTTACCCGACAGGCTGTCATAGATCCATTCCGTCTGTGTGCTCCGGTCTTGCCAGGCCAGAAATTCTCTATCCTGCTCCACGGAGGATGCAGGAGGTGTCGTGTCATAGTGAGGAGACTTGCTGCCAGGTTCAGAGATAGAAGCAGGGACGGTAAAGAAGGTGCTCACCCAAGAGGGGCCGGCAGCTGGGCTCCTGTCACAGGGGAGCACAGGGGCCAGTCACTTTCCAAACAGGGGCCAGGTTGGGAACCCAGTGCCCTGGCTTGTTGGGAAGTTGGGGTGGTGGCTGCTCTCCAGCTCCTGCAGACTTCCGCCTGCTCCAGATGGTGGATGTCACAAGGTTAGATGGGACCAGCTTGTGGATCATGGAAAATAGGCCTCTGTGCCATTCTGGACAGCAGAGCACCATGTTGACAACTGCTCCTTCACTTAGAGTGAAAGGATCTGAGGGTGCCTTCAAAGACCAAAGAGTCTGGCTTCCACAACTGACAGTCTATGTTCTGGAACATTCTCTGTCCTTCCTGGCTCTGACCCTGTTCATTCCAGTGGCTCTTCCTGCCTTACAGCTGCCTCAGGCAGAGTGGAAAAAATACCACAGTAGATGCCGCAGCAGCTTAAAATCCAGTACTGAGGTCTGCGCCCTCTAGTCTGCCCGCTACATACACCACCATCATTGAGGAAGGTTTCCACAGGGCCTGATGACGGGGTGGTGAGTGTGAGGGGCAGGCCCTGCTGTCTGGTAGCTCAGGATCAAAAGGGACGACACCGACATGCAGACCCATACCGTGTCCTTCCTTGGGAATCTCTGACTTTTAACTGGGGGCAAGAAACCGTAATTCGAAGGAATGAGAGGGTTCTCTGGGGTGTTTTGGCCTTGAAGTCATCTCATGTAAACTGGTCCAACTGGCAGGCAGAGATGGGCGTAACAGAAAATGCCCAACATATAAATGGGCAATGACTATGGTTGGTAGAAAAAAACATAGACTTTGGTGTCAGGTGACCTGAGCTTAAATTTGGCTCTTGCACTATAGTGGAGTAACTTTGGGTCAGTTACTTAACTTCTCTGTGCCTCAGTTTCTGCGGCTTTTTGATAATCATACCTCCACCACAGGTCCCCACAGGCGAGGACAAAACGAGAGTGGCAGTTGTTCTTACAGGGGAAGTAAGAAGTTCCGCAGCCCTTCATGAGACAGGCCCGTTCCCCATCTGGGTCAGGGTCCCCCAATGCAGGACAGGGAGGGGTGAGGGGCTGCAGGCTGAGGCTGGAGGCAACGAGGTTGAAGGAGAGAGGAGGAGGCCACTTGTTCTACCCAGGAGGTGCCATAGGAATGCTTTCCTCCTTTCAGCATAGGTGGGAGTTACAGGCAGATCTTGTGCCACTTCCAAGGGACCCATGGGAGGGCCTGGGTCTGTGCCGGCCTGCGGGCTGGGGCAGAGTGGCTGTGTTCTCAGGATGCACCACTGAAAAGGGGATCCGGGGTCAAGTGGCAAGACGGCAGGTCCTAGGTCAGTCAACCAGAGGGATCAAGAACTAGTGGACACAGATGAGCTCTTCAGGCAAGTATCAACTCTTGCTCTGTTCCAGGCCTCAAGGCCGGATCAGGAGACTCCCCTGGGCTTTATCCTTCCAGTGGGATAATGCCTGTCCTGCCTCACTCATCAGGTGCCCACTGGGACCCAAACAGATGATGAAAGTCCCCATGAAAGGACGTTGAGAAGTCAAAGCTGCCAAACCAATGCAGGGGTTATACTGAAGGTAATGGTGGGCCACCCTTATCTTTCCATTTTCAGGTATGTTTACCCAGCACCTTCCCTGCCACGCCTGTCCTGGGGTTGGGACATTACAGGGCTTTCTAGGGCACCTGCCAGGGCTCCACTGTAGCTCAGCACCTGGGAAGCAGGACTCCCTAGGGTTCCCGCCTACCTGGGCCAAACACCAGCTCCCTTCTCCATCCGCAATGGGGAGGGTGCCAGGAGGAGCCATTGCATCTGCGATCCCAGGAAGCTCTGACGGTTCCAGGCCTGCTTCTGCAGCTGCTTCAGAGTGGGGAAGGCCTGGGGGACCGCAGGGTATGCATGGGGAAGTGGGAGAGGAGCCTTGCTGTTTACAGGGGACCCGTGAAAGCCCCGACCTGAATCGGCTCCCCTTTCTCAACCCCCGCCTTAACAAACAGACGCGAGTGTAACACTTCTTGCCTAAAGGGGTTTGTGGAAGGTCCAGTGTCTCGGCAATCCTGTGTCAGGAAACACCAGGACCTCTCTGATCCCCATGCTCTCCTCGGGACCCCAGGAACAGGAAACCCACTCAGCTGTACTATGAATAAAGGACCGGATGGGTGCGTGTGTTTGGAATAAAGCTGAGTAGGCATCATGATTTTCCTTCCAGGCGTGCTAAGTTTTCTACGTGGTGGCTCGTGGGGCACAGAACGGAGAATAACAACAACCTGCAGCACTTACTGAGCATGTCCTGTGTGCTGGCTACTGTTCTAAGAGCGTCCCATGAGTTAATATTCATTAAATCCTCACCCCAGCCCCGTGAGGCCACAAATGTTACTGTCCCCATTTTACAGATGAGGAAACTGAGGCACAAGGAGTTTAAGTGGCTGCCCTTTGGCACACAGCTGGCTGGGTGAAGAAGCTGAGATTCTAATCAGGCAGTCAGGCTCCAGAGTCCCTGTTCTCAATCACAACCTTTCAGGTGGTCACGTCCCTGTCGGGCCCCTTCACGGCCACATTACTTCATACACTATGTGTCAGTAACTGAGGTGAAGGGGCCTTCGAAAAGCCGCTCCCTCTCACACTTTGCCTTAGTGGGGGCGGTCCTGTTAGATCCGTGTTGCTGAGCCTCCGGAAGTGTGAAGCATGGAATGGAAGGGCCAGCGTCTCCACTCCAGGAGTTGGGGGCTGGCCTCGCCAGGTCGAGGGGCAGCTCTACACAGAACCCTGTGCCCTCAAGTTGTAGCCTTTGGCTTCCCCATGCAGCAGAGCTGGGATTTCATTCCTGCTTCTCCCCATCACCAAACTGGCCTTGTGCTTTCTTTGCATCTAGTGTCAACCGACTTCACCAGTGGAGACGGATGACCCCTTTCCCCCAGGCATCCTTTGGGGAGAGATGGTAGGGGGTGAGCCACAAGGACAAGGACTGTGAATCAGAAGTCTTGTGTACTCCTATGCTGGTTTCGACAGAGCTGGCACAGAGAAGGCATTTACTCATTTATTCCATATGTTATCGACTGTCTGGGATGTGCCAAGCCCTGTGGCAGTTTAATGAATACTCACTGAATGAGAATTTAACCCTTGGAAATATGCCTGAGCAAGGAAGATGGCAACTTCCTTTGGGCATTCATTCATCTGTTCACTGTGAGCACTGCCTGTGGGCTCTTTGCCATCTCTTCCCAGTTCAGACCTTCCCTCCAGACTCAGATCACCCCTCCCCTTTCATCTCTGTAGTCCTGGGTGCCCATGACTCTGGTCTTGGGACCATCCCTCACCCTGTGAGTGACTGAGTGGTAGAGGGGAGCAGTATTAGAAGGGCCTTTGTGTGTGAGTTCCAGGAAAGCCCCCGACTGAACCCCTCCTTCCTCAAAGGACCTGCTCCCCGCACCCCCACCCCATCCTCACCACCCCTGACTCCCCATCTTTAAGATTGCAAAGGCTCCTGAAACATCATCTCTGAGTATGAATTTCCACCCGATTTATCCAAAAAGAAAGCTATTACCTTGCGTTAAGATAAGGCAGGGTTTGTGATGAAGAAGTCATCTTGGATTCTTTTGGAAAAAAGAACAGAAAGACAATATTGGAAAAAAAGAAAGCATCCTTTGTTCTATTTACAAGTGTGTTGTTAAGCACATGATGCTGGGACTGGGATGGAGAGGCCCCAATTTATAGAATTTTTCTGTTTTTACTTTTCCCTAGTGTTGTCTATCTCAATGATTTCCTTTAGAAATTATGACGCTGAAATTTTATAAAATCAAAGAGAACTCAAGGAGATAATTTTCATGAAATCATGGATTTTGGAAATTCAAGTCTGCTTTGTTGATCTTTTGAGTTATCACAGAGACCTCCTCTGTCACGGGGTGAAGGATATCAGCACAGGAGAGGTGCCTGAGGGTTCAGAGGTTATAAATATGTATATATTTTTTGCTGAAGAAGATCAGCCCTGAGCCAATATCTGTTGCCAATCTTCCTCTTTTTTCTTTTCTTTTTGCTTGAGAAAGATCAGCCCAGAGCTAACATCTGTGCCAATCTCCTCTATTTCATCTGTGAGACACTGCCACAGCATGGCTGAATAGTAGTGTAGGTCCACGCTTGAGATCTGATCCACAAACCTGGGCCGCCAAAGTGGAGGGTGCCAAACTTAACCACTAGGTCACAGGGCCAGCCCCAGGATATAAATATTTAAAACATTGTTTTTAATTTTAAAGAACCTGCTTGTATCATTTAGTCACCTATTTGCCTTGAATGATATGACATTAAGAACTTCACATACAATTGGGATAACATATACCATTAATTCTAGTGATAGAGAATGGCCCAGTGGAAGCAGTAAAAAAATAAGAATCAGAAAATTTGAATTTGAAACTTAAATGTTCAACATTTACACTTGTCCATAGTTTATTCATGTGACAGAATATTGTTGTGGAATATTATGTGGCTATGAAAATGATGTCTACAAAAAGCAAACAACATGGGCAAAAATTGAAAAGGCAATACTAAGTTACAAAAGTAAAACATAAACTTATATATACAGCATGTTTTTAAAACGGTAAAAACAAAACAAAACGAGGACCATCACCACCAAATATGCAAAAAATATGGGTGGGAGGGACAGAATAGATTTCACTAAAATGTGAATCAGCTTCATTTATATTTGGCTGTTGGTAGGCTGGGCGATGTTTTCCTACTTTCTACTTTTCAAATTTTCCATGAAAACAAAAGTAGATTTTGCTTCTTTTTATGTCACTCTTGTAAAATTAAAATATGCACATAATTTATTAAAAAGCAGAAACAGGATGACAGGAGGAAAGAAAGGAGAAAAGAAAGAGAAGCGAGTGGAAGGGAAAGAAGCAAGGTCTTGGGAGCCTCTCCTGGCTCCTCTGATTATCTCTCATGACCTTGGGGTAGTCACGTACCCGCTGACTCCAGGTTCCTCAGTTGTGAAGTGGGTGAGGGGTGGTAAACCGTGGCTGGGACAATTAAAGGAGACAAAGATCATGAAATATACAATATACACCCTATGCTACTGAACTGTGCTCCTGACCTGCGGGGCAAGATATGCACAGAAAATGATGCTGTTTGCACGGGAGCAGAGTGGAGGATGTGGGGGGGCTGGTTCTGGGTCTCAGCATCTCCTGTCCACCAGTTGCCAACTCAAGGCACACTGTTTGGGAAGCTTTGTCACAATCTGTGAACTTTCCTGCTTGACAAGATGGCTGGCTCTCCCATCCCTGCCTCTTAGTACATCTCAAACCTTTCTCCTTAAATACACAGAATTGCTAGGTTTCCTGTTGGAAATGGCTGTTGGGACACCAACTCTCAATTGGAAATGGCAACTGAATTATAGCATTTAGGCCAAACAGCACTCTGAGCCATGGAAGAGGACCTAGCAAGGGTAAGGAAAATCAAATCCAGTAGATGTGTATCAAAATACTATTAAGAGAAACCATTACGAATCAAAACTAATATACGGTGACTTCTCTATGGCATTATCTGCCACAGAGCACAGTTCATTTTTAAGAAGGCCTTGGATTCTAAAAAAACAAAAGGGGCTTCATTCTGGGGTGGTTTCATGTTCTGTGACAGCATGATAGTAACGTCGATTGTACTTCTTCCTTCTAGCACTTTCCTGCACCTTGTGAGATTCGAAGAGCATTTTTACACCTTACAGTTGTATGGTGTGGGAGAGCTTTCAAAGCATGTCAGATATGTTCTTTCATTTAATTATTGCAATCACACTGCGAAGAAAGGTATTTTTACATGTGGGGAAGCTGAAACCTGGAGGAGCTAAGGGAGATGCCCAAGGCCAAAGGCCCCATTGTGTGCTGGGTCTTCTGACTGCCAGCACAGCGCTCACACCCAGGTTTTATAGAAACTCTCTGGAACCTCTGGAGGAGATCAGTCATATGTGGTTATTGATTATTCAGTGGCAATTGACGCTTCATTTATCTTTAAGTTGCTTATCTGATTTTGTTGGATTTCCCCACAAACAATGGGAAAAATCATCTCTTTAAAGAAGAGACAGGGGCAGGAGTTGTTAGTCTGACCCTACCCTGTTTTGCCCAGGGCAACGGGAGTCTCTGAAATGGAGCTGCCTGCAGAGGAGTTGGGTGGGGAGCACAGGCCCCTCCACACCCCAGCTCACTGCATCTTCTCTTGTCTTTTTGTTGTGTCCACTTCGCAAAGGGGGGATGTGTGACTGGGGGAGTGTAAACTACCCTTCACAAGTCCATGGTAGGGGAATAATGAAATACAACATAATATAATAATAACAATAATAGGCAACACTTACATGGGCTTGACATGCTATGTGCCTGGCATAGCTCACATGCTTTACATAATTTAACCTCTTTAATCCTCCTAAACATCCTTTAAGATAGGTCTATTGTTATTCCTAATTTACAGGTAAGAAAACGAAGACAGAGGGGTTTAAGTGCCTCACCCAAGCTTAGGCAACTAATAAGTGGGAGAGAGCTGGCATTCAAAGCTAGGCAGTCAAGCTCCTGAGACAGGAAGTAAATGGTGCTGTTTGTGACAGACTCATATCTGCCACCAAATAAACAAATAATGGCACTCATGTTTCTCCCTCCTCGCCTGATCCTGTGGCAGACATCACTAGCTGATCGTGGCACTCCTCCCTGTTGAGCCCAAATGGGGCCTCAGAATCCTTCTTGACATAGTGCTCCACTGCTAACCTCTAGGAATTAATCCATCAGCACTAGAGATGGAAGCTCATTTTTCATCTCCAGGGCTCGTTTTATAGGTGCCAATTACTTCATAAAGCTGTTTTTAAAAATAAATGGTGTGTGCATGTGTGTGTGTGTATGTGTGTATGCCTGACTTTATGAAATGAATGAAATTGAACTTGATCCAATTTGCATTTACTGAGCATCTGCTATGAGTCAGGAAAGCCCTCTTGTTAGGCACTGAGGTTCAAAACAAGGGACAAAGTTATATCTTAAAGGTATTGGAAAAATACTCCACATAAAGAAATACTGATATAAATTCTTTTGAAAAGTTAAGAATCTTCCTGTAAACCCTTTCTTAGCATAACCTGCTTTGTAGAATCTGGCTTGGTACCCGGGTTTTTCCTAGACCGAGACAGTCTTCCGTGTGCCTTTAAAGGCATTTTAGCATTCCCCTACAGTTTTTCCAGTGCCTCTTCAATTTTTGCTAGCAGGGCATTTATTTTCAAAGCTTTTGCTTTATACACAGTTCCATTCACTTGACAGCATTGTATTTGTCCTACTCAAGTGGGTAATATATTTACAAAAGTCCAGCACATAGAAGGGACATGTTAAGAATGCTTGATTCATACTGTGCAAAAGAAATGGCCTTGATGCTATTTTCCAGCATTAGAATTACACTTGGTACTTGAACAGCAGAGATACCAGGATTCTGAGAGGGAGCCTAATGGTAGCGGCACACAGAAAAGAGAGTTTCCCAGCAATAGAGCGATTACCTCTGCAATGCCCCAATTAAACTTCCATGAGGGTTGTAGGAATCTAGGAGGATCCATCTGATTTGATGGAGAGGAACATAAAGAGAAAATGGTGCGTGGCTGCTGAGAACACCCAGCTTTTAGGATGTAGGTTGTGTGTAATCAGATTGGGATTTAAAGATTCCAGCTGTCTGAGATGCTGGCAGGTGGTAACAGAACTGATCCAGAAAAACAGTTTAGTTCTACTTCTACGTCACCATTAAGAGGATGCATAGGACCTGAAATTTTAACTTTCTGCACCTGGATGTGGCCGTACAGTGATGACATCAAGGAAAGACACCACATGGGACTACATGTGAATGCATCTTGGCTGCTTCTAGCAACAGCACAGGAGGCCACAGCCAAAGAATAAAACCCAACTTAAGGAAAAGTTGCCAATTGCAGAAACAGTTTTGGAAAAATGTCGGCCCTAGGATGAGAGAAATCACTCCAAAGTTAAATACTCGCCAGCTGGGTAAGAGGATGCTTTCCAGGGGCTGAATGGGCACCCTGAGAACCATACTAGAGTCTGTTGACTTAGCAACAGATTGTGGGAATGTATTCTAGGAAATAATTAGAGGTCATTGATAAAACTTAGCTATAAGGAGGTTTATCAAAGTGCTGTTTAAAAAGTAACAAAAAGGGCCAGCCCTGGTGGCTTAGTGGGTAAGTTTGGTGTGCTCTGCTTTGGCGGCCCAGGTTTGGTTCCTGGGTGTGGACCTATACCACTCGTCTGTCAGTGGTCATGCTGTGGCAGTGGCTCACATACAAAAAGAGGAAGATTGGCAACACAGGTTAGCTCAGGGCGAATCTTCCTCAGCAAAAAAAAAAAAAAAAAAAAAAAATCAGAAGCAATGAATGATGAATAATAGGGGATTGATTAAAAATATTATGGTTTGGGGGCTGGCCCCATGGCTGAATGGTTAAAGTTCTGCTTCAACAGCCTGGGTTTGTGGGTTTAGTTCCTGGGCGCAGACCTATACCACTTGTCAAGCCATGTGTGGTGGTGACCCACATCTCAAGTAGAGGAAGATTGGCACAGATATTAGCTCAGGGCTAATCTTCTTCAAGCAAAAAAAGTGGAAGACTGGCAACAGATATTAGCTCAGGGTGAATTTTCCTCGGGAAAAAAAAATTATGGTTTGAAAATATGATACAATGCAATGTAGCCATTAAAATGATTTGTAGAAAACTTAATAATATGAAATGATATTCATGTAGGTGCATAATATTTATATATAATTACAATATATAAATACAGAAATAAGTGTACCTTAAAAAGCAGGTTACCAACACTATGTAAGTCTGGGAGGGATCTAACCAAAGTGTGAAAGCGAGTGTTGTCTCTGGATGGTTGTGCTTTCTTCTTTTTACTTATATATAGTTTCTCAAACATCCACAATGAATATGCATTACTTGTGCAATAAGGAAAAGAAAATATACAAATTATGGGGTGTTTTTGTGTGTGTTTTGTTTTGGTTTGTTTACCACCAGGCGTGTGATGGTCGTCAAGTCACCCTGTCACTCTGTCGGCACAGTTCCTGGGGCTCAGCTGTTGAAATTGTGAGTGTAACTTGGTCAGTAACGAGTGCTCCCCTCTGTCCGCACCGTGGGCAGGGCTGACCATCTGGGCTTGGGCTATATGTCAGTTGATTCTTTTTTCCCGGGCATTGTGGCAAACTAGTGCTACCACCTTTTGGGAGCTCTTCCTGCAGATGCTCACCCGTTCCAGACATTCCCCTTTGGACAAATACTCTTTTCCTTTCAGCTCCTTCCCCTCCTCCAGATACTCACCCTCTTCCAGTAACTTTTCATGCAGACCCTCTTTGTCTTTTAGCCGCTTTTCCTCCTGCAGATCCTTTTCCTTCTTCAGATACTCCTGCTCATACAGATACTCCTTTCCTTTCAGATACTCGTCTTCCTCCAGATAGTTTTCCTCTTCCAGATTGCCATTTTCCTCCAGATTCTCTTCCTCTTCAGGAAGTGGAGATTCTTCCCCTGAGCTTTCATCTCCCTCAGGATCCTCCTCCTCTGAAGAGAAGATCTGTGTGGAATTTTGGGAAAGTGTGGGAGGATGAGGAGGTGGTGATCTTCCTGGCGGCTGATTACTTTCAGCAGACATGCTGAGGAAGCCTCAAGCAGATGAAACCCTTCAGCAGCAGGCCAAGTCACTTCATCATCCTGGTAACCAAGAGAGGAATAAAATCCCATTAGTCAGTAATTCCCGCTGCATACTGATGTAAATTCATTTGTGTTCCCTCATTTCATCCAGTAGTCTTTGGATGGCCCTTTGACTATGCAGATCAGTACATGGTGGCCCATGAAAGGGCACAAAAAGAGGGAACAGAGGTTTTACCCTCCAAGAGCTGGTTGGAGAGACCACACCCAAAGGCAACACCTTTGAAATTACCACACCATATGAAGTAAAGGAGGACGGCTGGAAAGGGAAGGAGTGATCGGTGTTTAGTGGTGCAATCATCAGAGAAGACTTATTTATTCATCAAGAAATATTTGTTGCCATAATAAACAAGACAGAGACTGTTCCAGGAGTTTAAATCTGGGAAGAAAAACAGTCATTGCAAACAGATTTCTTCACACAAAGTGGCAAGCACAACAGAAGAGGTGATGCTGGCCCTGATATCAGTTCCCCTATATTAACCCAACATATATGGAGTTAAAAACAAAACACTCATTCCCTGCTTACTCCCCGGCTTCCTGGCTCCAGAATCCACTATCCTCACTATCCACCATGTAGACAAACAGCCAAGGTCGCCCACCTGCAAATTCCCTTATCCTCCTCCTCCCTATAACCAGCCACCCAAGGCCAAATGCAGGCTGGTGGGAAAGCTCCAACCAGCAAGGCCACTGACTCCACTTCCCATCTACAAGCAGCTACATTCCTCACAAAGCTTTAAAACCCCTGGCCTCCCATCTTTTGGGGAGATGAGATGAAACGAGACAAATTTGAGGGCTCACTCTCATCTCCTGGCTGATATCACCTGAAATAAAAACACTTTCCTTGCCATAAGCCTGGCATTTCAGTTCTTATTGGCCGCTCTTGTGTGGCAGGTAGGGAACCTATGTTTATAGGTGCTAACAGAGGTAGAGGTGGGTTGGTATAGACACTGTGATTGGAGCCTAGGTCGGTGATAGTGTAGAGGAGGAAGAAATATTTCTCTACCCTCTAGGTCCTTCTGGCTGGTCCAAGAATTAAATTGTCATGAGATAGAATAACAGGAGAAAATCAAAGAAATTTAATAACATGTATACATGGGAGAAACCCAGGGAAACTGAGTAACTCACCAAATTGGCCAAAGCCACCACCTTAAATACCATCTTTTCTAAAGACAAAGGAGGATGTTGGGGCTAGTAGCTTGGGACTTCAAAGGGGAGGAAAGTTCACATGGAGAAGGAAATGCAAATGTTCGATAAACAAGTGTCTGCCATGCTTTGCAGAGCGGTGAGACATGGAGAGGACTTTGATTAAATGGGACTTGCTGAGATCCTCCTTGTCTACCACGCCTAGCTCATATTATACTAGAGTTATCTATGGATTAGCTCCTTCCTGGAACAGGCCTTCTAACTTAAATTCTTTTCGGCTGTTAGGGGGAAGTTCAAAGTTTCTTCCTGAGTCTTAGTTCTTAAAATAATCAAGCGAAAGAGACACGTTTTTGAGGTAGCAAATTCTGCTCCCCTACAAAGGCATCTGTAGTTGGAGGTCTGCGAGGCACATTCTCACGGTTGCCACACGCTCTGTTACCTTGGCAGGAGGCATCACCCACCGAGAGTTCACTCAGCAAACGCTTACTTATTTTAACTCCTCAGCTTTGACACAACTGTGAACACCTTGCCTGCTCCAGGAAGTCTTCCATGCTCCATCCTATGCTCCATCTGTACCTTCTATATGTTCATTCAAGTAATGATTTTGCTATATTAAATACTTTGCACGTCTGTCTTTCCAAAAGAGGGCAGGAAGGATTGACTCTTGTTTAAAAATATATCTTGAAATCTTCCACTCTTCTCCATTCCAACTGTGACTACCACAGTGACCCTGCCATCTTTAGTGTGGATTACTGCAACATGCTCTTAACTGGACTTCCTGTGACCACTGCTGCCTCGCTGCTAGTCATTCTCCATAAACAGCGTTCTTATGAAAACATAAATGAGATCTAATATAAAAATCCCCCAGTGGCTTTCCCTTGCACTTAGAATGAAATGTAAATGTCATTCCATGGCTTCCAGGGCCCTTCAGGATCCGGTGTCTGCCAGGCTGTCTGACTTTCTCTCTCACCCTCCACCTCCACACTCCCACCCTGTTATTCTCCCCTATAGCACTCATCACTATTTCTGTTTCTGCTTCTGTGCATACTTGTTCCTTCTTTCTTTTCCACTAGACTGTAAGTTTCTCAATGACAGTGACCTTATGTGACCTGTTCCCCACTCAGTCTCCAATGGTTAGGTTGGTACCTGAGGTAGAAGAGATGTCCAATAAATGTATGATCAGTGACGGAATGAAGGGACAAGAACAGATGTCTCTAGAGCAGGGCATCCCAAAGTTTTAAAAATGATAATATTTATTCTGCACATTGGGATAAGTTGAACAGGCTGCTCATCGTGGAGGCAGCCTGCCCAGAACCCTCTCATTTGCTCTGAGGACTTAAGAGATAAATATCTTGCCCTACTTTTTTCCAGATCTCTGAGATCTCTGATTGGGAAGCTCTGTCATAGGGAACCAGCCAGATAAGATAACTAGGGTCACTTTCTAGCATACGTGCAACATGCTGCCCAAGATGAGGGGTGTGATGTGTAAACATTCATAATGGGTCACTGGGCTTATCTGTCCACCCACGGGGTTGCCAGAGCCCTTAGATTACTGGATTCTGATAGGATTAACCTGGGGCATCAATATGGCAAACGTAGAGCTGTGTTCTCCAGACCTCTTTTCAAAGAAAGACTTGGTGCCCAGCTGTGGGGAGTATAGTCAACAGACAATCTCCAGCCACCCGCTCCTTCAGCATCTACTTCAGCTGCAGAGAGTCACCTGCCAGAAGTCATGCTCTTCTCGGGGCAGCCCACATCTGGGGACTAAGCAAGGTGGGGGTGTAAAAGTCCAGCTGAACCCAGACAGGACACCTCTGGGAAGAAGCATTCACCCCTGGGCCCTCCAGCAGGCTGGCCAAGCTTGCCAAGCCTGTTCCACAGTACCACCTCCTCTTCCAGTCCCGCTTCCTTGCCCTTCCCTTCTCAGACATTGCTCCCTCATAAACATTTTACATCTCAATAGGTTGTATCTCAACAGTTTGCATTTTAGAGTCTATTTCCAGAGAACCCACCCATGACAGGCAGCTTCATGAAATGTAAATCTGGAAAAGAAGTGATTGCAAGATTCTTGGGGAAAGAGGAAGAAACAGCCTCACGGACAGCTTGACAGTTTAGAGGGCTGGGAGGGTGGGGAGCAACCAGAGCTGCCCACGGCAAGGCCAACTGACATGATGTGGAAAAGTAAAGGCAGAGCCCGGTGCTGGAGAGCTTGCAAGCCCATTGCTAAGCATTTTGCTGGGGGTGTGACTGGGAAGGTGATATGATGAAAGTGACTCTGGAACAATAGGATTCCTGTGACCATTTACCATACACACGAGAAATAGAGAGACAGGGAGCCGGCCTGCAGTTGACTTGCTCTTTTCTCCGTCATTTTACAGTTCTGTGGTATACGCATGTCTTTTCCTGTAGCCTACCTCGATGCTTTTGGGAGGAGACGAGGTCTGCATCATACATGAGATGAGGTTGGAGGATATTGCTTTTGCGGCAAAGGGTGAGCCACGGCAAAGCTTTGGGGCCTATATCTATGGCTATGGGAGCCGATTCTGTTTTACACGAGTTCCCTCCAGGCTTATTTTGACCTAAAACCTAAACACACCACCTACAATAGCTGTCCACTTCTAACCTCCACCCTTTTCCAATGGACGTTGGGTAAGCCAGAGGAAGCCAGAAGGGGCTGGGGATGGTGAGGGCGCTTGGGGAGGGGTCTGTGCAGCCCTACCTGGGAGGGGTGAAGGAGCATGTGAAAGCACAGGCTGCTCCATCAAAGGTGTGCTTACACTTCAGGATCCCTCCCTTTCATATTTTTCAGCTGCTTAAGATAAAAAATCAAAATCAGCCAGTCCCCTGGACAGCCCGAATGCATTTATCAACTTTATCAATGGCATGCTGTCATTCAGGGTTAAGTCTTTTCTTTCCATTTTCTCATCAGGCCTTGTAAAAAGGCTCCAGTCAGCTGCTTTCTCCTCTCAAAGATCAGAAAAGAAACTGCACTCTAGGCATCTCCTTTTAATTCTCTTAGAAATTTATAAAAAAAGCCATCAGGCAGAAATAAATAGTAATGGCAAACTGATATCCAGTATCTGAGGCAAACATCCTGGTTTCCACTTCTGATTCAGATCTTGACTCATTTTGACTGTGGTTTCTGACAGACTGCAGGTTAATTTCTGCAGTCACAAGAGGAAACATCGACTTTATAATAACTGATTACAACCAGCTGATCATACTCATTCATCTCTAGACTAGCTTCACAAAATGGCCGCCTCGATCAAAGCAGACTGGCAGACATTTTGTTCAGCTTACATAATTTTAAAAAAAAATTAGAGTGAATATTTAGAATTGGCAGAATTCACAAAAAATCAATGGTTCTGGCTTCTCTTGGAAATCGGAGTCTCGGGCAACCCTGGGCTGGCTTTTTCCACATGGAAACAGTGATGCTGAGTGGAGGCTGCCCTCTTTGAATGGGACAGCACTTTCCGTTTCTGCTTCTGTCCCCACTTCCATTCTCAGGCAGTCTCATCATCACACGTGTACTGTTGTTCTTCTTATGGTAGAGCCGTGGTTCTCTGCCTCCATCAAAAAAATAGAGCATGTCTCGCTCAAAAGTGGGAAAACAAAAGACACACGAAGAGGTCTGATGTTTCTCGCACGTTGCCTCCTGGTGCATTGGCTTTATCTGTCTGGCCCCGTAGAGAGGTGGGGCCTTTGCAGGAGGCTGTTTGTTTCATGGAGCCAGGCACTGTGTTTACACAGTTCACCACTGAACACCTGCACCTAGCGTGGTGTCTGGTACCTAATAGACACTCAGTAATACCTTCTGAGGGAATAAATGAACGAGCAAAGAAAAGCATTAATAACGTGCC